AGATGGTTTATATCATGTGATCTTGAGTCTTACCTTATACACATAGCTTGTGTCATTGACAGAAATAAAGAGCATTTTAAAAAAGAATATTTTACAAGCAGGTATCAGGTGATGATTATTTGTTCCTAGATTGCCAGTCTATATTTACAATAGAGATTCAAGATTACTTTATGTGCACATCAATTTAAATTTGGATGATGCCATAACTATTTTTAGAGTAGCTTTTTATCTTACCAGTCAGGAATGTAGCAGATCAGAAACACTTGGCTAGTTAAGATATAATCCTTGTAGAATTACCATTTCACTTACATGTGATATATATCCCCAGACCTGGCTCAATGCGACTAATACATGATTTATATCCCTCAACCTGGCTTAGTGTGACTTACATGTGAATTATATCCCTAGACCTGGTTAGTTTAAAATATATGTTATTCATGTAAATAAGATAGATTGGCTCAATGTAACTAATGTGTGATTTATATCCCCAGACCTGGCTCAGTGTGACTAACAGGTGATTTATATCCCCAGACCTGGCTCAGAGTGACAAACATGCGATCTATATCCCCAGACCTGGCTCTGTGTGACTTACATGTGACTTATATTCCCAGACCTGGCTCAGTGTGACTAACAGGTGATTTATATCCCCAGACCTGGCTCAATGTGACTAACTTGTGATATATATCCCCAGACCTGGCTCAGTGTGACTAACATGTAATCTATATCCCAGGACCTGGCTCAGTGTGACTAACATGTAATCTATATCCCCAGACCTGGCTCAGTGTGACTAACAGGTGATTGATATCCCCAGACCTGGCTCAGTGTGACTAACATGTGATTTATATCCCCAGACCTGGCTCAGAGTGACTAACAGGTGATTGATATCCCCAGGCTTGGCTCAGTGTGACTAACATGTGATTTATATCCCCAGACCTGGCTCAGTGTGACTAACATGTAATCTATATCCCCAGACCTGGCTCAGTGTGACTAACAGGTGATTGATATCCCCAGACCTGGCTCAGTGTGACTAACATGTGATTTATATCCCCAGACCTGGCTCAGAGTGAGTAACATGTGATTGATATCCCCAGACCTGGCTCAGTGTGACTAACAGGTGATTTATATTCCCAGATCTGGCTCAGTGTGACTAACATGTGATTTATATCCCCAGACCTGGCTCAGAGTGACTAACAGGTGATTGATATCCCCAGGCTTGGCTCAGTGTGACTAACATGTGATTTATATCCCTAGACCTGGCTCAGAGTGACTAACAGGTGGTTTATATTCCCAGACCTGGCTCAGTGTGACTAACATGTGATTTATATCCCCAGACCTGGCTCAGTGTGACTAATGTGATTTGTTTCCCCAGACCAGGCTCTATGTGACTCACAGGTGATTTATATCCCCAGGCATGGCTCAGTGTGAGTAACATGTGATTTATATCCCTAGGTCTGGCTCTGTGTGACTAACATGTGATTTATATCCCCAGACCTGGCTCAGTGTGACTAACATGTGATTTATATCCCCACACCTGACTCGGTGTGACTAACATACAATGTTTATCCCCAGGCCTGGCCCAGTGTGCAGAGCTCTGTTGGCAGCTGAGGGGAATGGCTGGAAAAAGACAAGTTAAAGAAGCTAAGGTGGCTCTACAACACAATCTGGGACTAGGGGGAGCTGTGGTTATTACTATTTATAGACTGGGATTTCCTTATGCTCAGTAAGTATGTAAGGTTTATAACTAGGTTCTCCCACACACTTGTTAAAGCAGTCTTTCACTTAGAGAAAGAGATGAAAACATGCTGAGAGTGTTTCAGGATTTAAATGATATTTTGTAGTAAGTTTAGGTAAGTAAAGTGACATTCTACTTGTATGTTGTGTTTAATTGAAGTAGTATATTGTACATGCATGTTCTATAGAACTGGAAGACAAATTCAGGCAGCTCCTGCCAGCAGCTCAGCAGAGAAGGACTTCAAATGTCGTGTCATCTTCGATGAAATCAAGGAAAATCTTGACAAGGTATGAAAGATTTGTACCATAACTTATGGAAGTTAAAAGTGAAATTTAGAGATGATTAGATTTAATAAAGTCTTTGTATTTTAACTAGGATGGTCAAGCCTGGGTGAAGAAGATGAAAGGAGTTTTCTGTTTTAAAGTGAAAGGTTCTGGTGGAAAGGAGGGAGTGTGGGTAGTGGATGCCAAAAATGGCAGTGGATCTGTCAAGTTTGGAGTCGAGCGTATGTGTCAATCAATCTGAAAACGGAATTTTAATGGAGTGGATCAGTATTGTCTGTTATATAGGATAAATTTCTTAAATAGAACTGTTTCTGGTAGGTGATGAATTATTTCTTTTCTTTTTAGCAAAAGGAGATGTAACAATCATAATGACAGATGATGATATGGTTAACCTGATGACAGGAAAATTAAATCCTCAGCAGGTAGGTTCCTGTATAGATACAGAGAAACACTATGGGACTATATAAAAGATCTCAATTGTTCTCCTCGGCTAATTATAACCTGCTAATCAGTATTTATTATAAATTTATTAGAAGCCTGCCTCCATCATGATGTTTGATGTATGATGTATCTTTCATTGATGTAAGGAGAGCACACAAGCATTTCAATTACATTATTGTCTCATTTTTCAGGCATTCTTCCAAGGAAAGCTAAAAATCCAGGGAAACATGGGGCTGGCCATGAAACTGAGAGAATTCCAGAACAGAACCAAGTCAAAGTTGTGAAGGAGCAAGATAAAGGAATCACCATCAGCAAAGAGACAATTACTCAGATAACATTGTGCTATTCAGAGAGACCATGTGACACTTGCAATTCACCCACCCACCTTATAATTTGATCATGTGACCATACCAACTGTTGATCAATAGTAGTGATTTATGATTATCGAGATTTTATGATGTGATTTGTGATTGTTGAGATTTTATGATCTCTCTGTAGTTAGACTGACTATCAGAACAAAATTTAATTTATTAAATCCTGTTTTTGTAGCCATTGATTTTGTACTCTCTTCCATTTTTAAATTGAAAAATCTTGTTTATGAAACTTTTATAATGATATTCTATGAATAATTATTATAAATTGACAGGTCTGTGTAAATCATTGTATTAATATTTATGTGCTAAACAATATTATTACATGTATAAACAATATTATTATTAATATAAACAGTATTATTTCTTAATGATGATATACATTTATGTAGGAATTTCTTGAATACATATCAAATATATTGTTTAATTATGACATACCTTTAACCTCTACATTGAACGTATTGGATTATGTAAGAAATATTTGTATACAGTTTACATTCTGTATGGGTGTAAAAAGTTTGAACTGTAGTTGAGTAAAGTTTCATGTAGAAGGACAAAATAGATTTATAGTTTATTGGCACACATTTTAAAACTGTTTTCATATTCCATTTGATGTTAACAGTAAAATACAAAAGGCATTTCAACATTCTTTGATGATAAAAAAAAAGTTTTGCGGCAAACACGAGAGAGAAATTCCAAGTACATGTATACCATACATTTTTAGTTTGAAATTTAGCTAAATAGTAGTCCTGTTCTAAATGGGACAATCATGAATGGGAGTGTTGTGTTTAAAGCATGAATATAATATTTCTAGAAAAGTAAGTTCAAATTAAAAAGCTGTGTCAAAATTTTGTGTATAACTTTTCAGACATAACCTTTTACTGTTTAAAATGAAAGGCTGTTTTTGGTCCCCCCCCCCCCCTTTTGTTGAGGTATAGTCAAATCAGGGTAATTTGGTAATGTATGAATAAAATTTGGTTGTGGAAGAATTTGGTAGCTAGTTAGAAGACTACTGAAACAACATTAGACACACAAGCCCATTGTTTATAAAGGAAGTCCACATTATGTGTAAAATTTTTGTAAAGTGTTCTCTGTTATCTTGTATGACAATTCCTTGAGGGAGATACAGATTTACAAAGCAATGACTTAATACTTGAAATATTGCTCCTGCCTGGATGGTTGTTAGGGCACCTATCTTGTGACTAAACCGAGGGCCAATGCCATTAGGTTACAATTCAAAAAAACATGCAGAACTTATTTTTATTTTAAGAAATAGACCATTCAAGATCTGTCTATTGAAGTACTGGTATAAATATTAATACCCAACTGAAGTGGCCATTTTTTTATACCATGATTTTCTAAAAAAATATAATATCAATAAGTCCCAATATTGACTTCATGTACACGTGTTCAAAATCATTTATTTCATCCAAATAGATATTAATGTGTTATTAACAGTGAACGTGATTTATTACACATGACATAAAAGATCTGCTTCAAAAATATAAATGTACAAAATCAGTATTGCATTCCCTAAGCTCTTAGAACTCTCATCTGTGATTAATACGATATAATTATACATTATATTGGCGAATATAAATAGTTTTGTTCTCTTAGACACACACAGTGTTCATCATCTGGATTTATAAGATGGGATGTGTAATAAATGTGTCTAATAAATAGAACATATAAAAAACAAAGATTTACATGATATGTTTAGTACAAATATATCACAATTCATTGAAATATATAACTTGTCAAGAACTAAATATTGTGAACTTGCAACTACTACTAACTGGTATATAATAAACTATTCTAAATCACATTAAATCACTAACCTTTTCAATATTTCACACTATAAATGGAATGACATGTAGATTATAATACTAAACAAAACTTTAAAAAAAAATATCTGACTCATATCGGTAAAGTATAAATATAAAATATAAAATGTAACTCTCCCCAATTATATTTTTTCTGCTTCCCCCTTCAAGAAAGTAGGGAGCTGCACTATTGCAGCTATGTGAGGTATAATTCAAAATAACAGTAAAAGATAATAACTTGAATATTTCCACATGCACACATAGAAAAACAAGGAAAAATTCTGGCAATCTTGACTATAAATATGTACAAGAAAATGAAAGGATCCTTACACGTGTACATGTACAGTCAATTAAATTACTTATTTTCATGGGGTCAAATTTTTGTGGTTTGAAGAAATATCACTGGTTCAAAGGAATTACATTTCATGGTTAAAGGAGAAATATCATACATGTACATCAGTATGAAATATGTATTTTGTAGAAGATAAAAATTCATAGGACACTTCATTCCTCAAATACAATGAAAATTAAACCCCCACGAAAATGAGTGATTTCACAGTACATGAATTTGAAATCACTGTGTTAAGTGGTTTATATTTACATTGAATGGAAGAACAATAATAATGAGATGTACTAGTTAGACTAGAGATAGTACAATATACAACTGTATATGGTACTGAGGAAGAAACAAATGGAATGCCCTAATTCAAGGGTGTTACTATTTTTAAGCATAAATATTTCAATCAAGCTTTGGAATGAGAAGTCATGACTGTTGTCATGAGATTTACAATGATTACATGTATATTATAAATGGAGTACAAAAATAGTCCCATACTTGTAATAAATCTCACTTGGGCCCTAAATGTTCTGAACTGTGATGGATCGTGTTGAATTCAGGGCTCTGTTTGTATGCATTTACAGGAAAAGAAGCACCTGTTTGATTTAAATTGTAGAAAATACTGACATCTATATCATGTCAGCATATGTTATAAGTAGCCACCATGTTTAACATGGAGTTCATCAAAAACAGCGACACGATTGCTATCCTCTAACTTAACAATGAACGGGTTCATTTCATTTCCAATTGTCCGTGGGACCTCAAGCTTGAGCTCGGCCTTCGCAGCATTCATAGGCATCACACTCTCCAGTGTATGGCAATCATGAAGAATCATCACTCGGAAAACAATTGCTGTCTGAGTGTCAACCACAGAGAACCGGAAACAATTAGACGTCCCTGGGGTAAATCTCATACTCTTCTGGAATTCTGTATTCAGGTGACTAGACATAATCTTCATCTGACCGTCCAACCCAAGAAAACACTGAATACCAACAATGTTTTCAAAATCAGTGTAGGCAGTAGAACGCACATATATACTCAGTCCTGTCTCATTAGGAACCACATCTCGTTTTTTTCTGTTTAAGAATTGGACCCGACCATTGAGGGAGGTTAGATCCGATGGTTTATACTTTGTTTTAGTGATTACATACACGGCACGGCTCTGTAAAACCAAAGCTTCTTCACTAGGTAGCACTGAGTGGTGTTCCATGTATAGACCCATCTTCAACCAAGCCTCCGGACGGAAGAGAACAGTGTCCCTTTTTTTGGCATAAGGGCTTAGATTTGAACTGGACTTGTTTCTATTCTTTTTGAGGTGAGCCTTTAAATTTTTGTCATGGATATCCCAGTAAGATTTCTCTGGAGCAAATCTGTAGGCAATGTGCATCAGATTCTCAGGTGCAGTTCTCTCCCCTTCCTCTTGCCATATAAACACACTGGCCTTAGTGTTATCTGTCAACCATTTTATCTGAGGGACGGAGTTTCGAATCAGTGAGGATCTGACAGAGATGACGATAGGTTGTTCCAGTTCTGCATCCATGATAGCATGGTACATGTCCAGTACACCATCCCAGGAATACCCACTCAGACTCAGATCAGTATGGGTTCCCGTTGTCCATCCAAGGGACATGGTGCACTCTGGGAACAACCGCTTGACATGTTTGAAATATCTAATCATGTCAACTCTTGGTTTGGATCCATGAGGTCCCTGTAGGATGTCAGCATGCAGCCAAACTGGCCTCATAAGCTGCAAACAAATACAAGAACAATCAAACAATATGGCCTTTGGGTAAAAAGAATTTTCCTAATAAATTTTATTGTCATTCATTTTCTTTTTTTAATTCTATAAAATTTCCACCTATTCACCTAGTCAGTAATATAGATATTTAAATAAATCACCCCTCTCTTTGAATCCTTTAACTTCTGTAGAGTTATCTCCACAGCATCGTTGGACTGGAATGAGATTTTGATTCCTTTATGATAAGCTAGCATAATCTCCTGTAGCCAAAGGTCAAGGGTTAGATCACTTTTACTGTCTGGTAAGCGGCCCATCAATGGAGTGAGGTACTGATGGTCAGTGTCCTGTCCCTTCAGCAAAACATCACCCTGTATCATGTCTACATCACCTGGTGGGGATATAAGACAGAAATATAGACACATTGTCAAGGTAAATATCACCCTGTATCATGTCAACATCACCTGGTGGGGATATAAGACAGAAATATAGACACATTGTCAAGGTAAATATCGCCCTGTATCATGTCAACATCACCTGGTGGGGATATAAGACAGAAATGTAGACACATTGTCAAGGTAAATATCACCCTGTATCATGTCTACATCACCTGGTGGGGATATAAAACAGAAATATAGACACATTGTCAAGGTAAATATCACCCTGTATCATGTCTACATCACCTGGTGGGGATATAAGGCAGATATATAGACACAATATCCATGGCAGTCATAATCAATGAAAGCACAGACACTGTATTATACAATATTACATTGAAAACAATTATGTAGAATAAATATGAATAATTCAAGTCTGTGTCTTTGGGTAAAAAAAAGTAACACAATTCCTTTCTTAATTCTTATCTGCTTGTTTTGGTATAACTTGTGACTGAAAATATCTACCTGCAATGGCATCCTGCAATGCCTGTTTACTATTCACATGTCTGGCCCATTCAATGTTGTTTCCATCTTCATTTGCATGTGGAAAGTAGACCATGGGGCTGACATCTGATCCAACATGCAGCACTGGGATCTTTCTCAGAAACCAGGGAGTAAAACCTTCAAAATCAAAAACATAAAATCAAATTTACCATTCTCCCTATTCCTCCATTTGTTGCAAGTTATTTTTGTACAGAATCTTCCCTTTCAATGGTTTCAATTGGCCCTCTTTGGCCTGGGAATGTCGGCTTCAGAAAACTTGCATTCTGACATTCATACTGGGGTTGTGCTGAAATATGCATGTCAACAAAAATATATCTGTTGAGTAAATTTAATTAAAACTTGGAGGTTGGGGGATGGGTTGTCAAATATAATGTATACATGTACATTAAACATAAAAAAAGAAAGATAAATAAAACAACAGGCATGTAAGTTTTCTTTTCAATACAACCCCAGTATGCATATTTCAACACAACCATAATATGGAGGTCAAAATGCGAAATTTTAAACTGACATTCCAAGCCCAATAAGGGTCATTTGGAACCACTGAAAGATAAATATAGTAACAAGAGTACTATCCAGATATGGAATGGTAATGAGGAAAATAGCAAATTTATGGTTCCCCAAGAACCAATGGTGGAAACTATTTCCCGAGGCGGCGAAGCCACCACGGGAAGTAATTTTCTACCGAGGCGAACCATCAACTTGCTATTTCCTGAGTACCCATTCCATAACTGTTTTTATTGTACCAAAACAATCTAAGGAGATTTATTAAACCAGATACTCAGACATTTTTAGACAATATAGAAGAATTCAAATAAACAAATACATTATATATAACTAAAATTTTACTAGATATCTAATGCACCAATACGGAGAAAATAATGACACATTTAAAAAATAAAATAATTTCTCAGAAATTTTAAAGAATTATTGTGCTCATCATTTTGCTATACATGTAATTCCAATATGATTTAGACATCACATGTCGAAAAAGTTACATTCAATTTGCTAATAACATTATGTCACTGACTTGAGATTCCTTGAATGCTCCACCCACTGAGCATATTGATTACATTAAAAATATTTATGAATATTAATGAGGGAGTAGTCCCAGGGAGTAGCTCTGATATTTTTACAGGTAGCGGTCTTTGCCAAATCTTTTTTTCAGCACAAGCCCTTCGGGCAGGTGTACCCACTAATTACACTAGCTTGAACAAATATTTACATGCCCAGAATTTTATCAAGTAATCTTGTTCTTATTTGCCTTTTTGCACCAAGAAAATTATCTGAAATTTATTTTCATTGATCTATTTCCAGGCCATAATATAACAGCTGATTAATTGTTTTCAACAATTACTCTTTTTGTGTCTCCAATGCAAAAATTTTTTTTAGAATAAAATGTTGTTAAAATTTTAGTTTGCACTTCACTTTAGATGAATAATTCAACCACTTTTAAATATATTTAATGTTATTGATGTTATTCAATTTGATATTTACTTCATGAATGAAAATGAAACATCTGGTCAATGAATTGATCACTCAAAACAAAAGTGAAAGTACATCGTTTTAAACAATATGGAGGATTAAGCCTGCAAATATACATGCCCTTCGGGCTTGTAAGTCACTAAGTATGCAATTTCCACAAGCCCACTTCCAACTTTACCAGGTCCTGGGCATTGGACTCCTGGGATTTGTTGAAGACTGGGTAGTAGTCTTCAGATGGGGGAAGTAGTGCCTTAATTCTCAGGGAAACAGACAGACTTATGGCGTTCATTTTATAGCGAGTGCAGCTAGCTGCGCAAAGCGCCTCTCACGAAGTGAGCTCAATAGACCAACGACAAAGAGGAAATTCAAAATGAAATTTGTATATTCGTAATGCAAATTTTCCTGTGCAACCTTCCCAAAATTCCTTCGCTACCAGAATTCCACGCGATAATGCCAAATATAACAGTCCCTTAGTTTTGTAAAGCAGGGAGCTTAAAAGAAAAAAAAAAACAGTTGTGCCTACTCTATAATGCCTTTTGTTAAAATATTGCACTTGGCCTATTTAGACTCTGTTACAGACATGCAACTTACATACGATATCAAAGTTTAGATTGTGTCTCAGTTTGAAGTTTAGAGTTGGATCAAAGTTGCAAGTGTAACTTAGCTGTGTGAATCTGCGTTTGCCCAAATGGTCGAAACGTAAACATATTATACAGTTATTACAGTAGGGTAAACCTTACAGTAGAGGTATTATGATAAAATATATGTTTATACGTTGTCACAGAAGATACAACACTGTACAAAGCTTTAGCCTGAGTCTAGGTGGGGGTGGGTGGGGGATATCATGTTGGAAATAATACACGAAGCCTGAGACCAAAAATTGATACCATAAGTCTTTTTTTTACAATGGGTGGATCTGAAGCTCTCTGGTTTGTCTGTCCGAATTTTCTGTCCCAGAGAGCTATAATTCTGCAGCTAGAGGTGCCTTATTTCTGACAATTACAAAGACGAAAGATGACTCCGAAGTACTGACCTTCATTAAAACTGTACCAGAAATATATAACTACAGCAGTCACCGCAATTTGACAAAGTACGAATTTACGGTGAGGAGCGGGTGCTTTTAACATTCGCTTTAATCGTTCAAAATCACGATCGTAGGATGCCATAGTTGCTTAACATCTGAGTTCGCAGAGCGTTCTTTTAACCCACCCTACTGTGAATATTTTTCAAGCGCTTTATCAACCCAGGTCTCCGAACCCGACTTAATTATAGTACCATTTCCCACAAAAAATTACGTCCTAACCTGTCACAGCTGTTTAACGAATTTTACAGGTGTTTGACTAGCAATCTGGTTTGTATAATTTTAAGAGAATATTTTTGGGTCTCAGATTCAACAATAATCAATACAGCAGTTTGTTTAAAGAAGAACAAAAGTTTAGTTGTCATTGATGAATTTGCTATTTATACTTAAATAATGAGCATTGTGTTATTTCACTGTGCAAATTATAATGTTACAGATAAAAAAATGAAAGAATTACAAATTAAAAAAATATATTTTGATTTGATGATCATATCATTTTATCTGGTATAATTTTGAAAAGTACCTGCTGTTAGACTGTCCGCCTTCTACGATGAAAATGATCTTTTAATTATGTAGAAATATATTTTGCTTACAGTTACATGAAATAAAATTCTATACTGTTATTGTATTACTTCTACCTTGTAGTTATAATCAGATGATTTGAGTTTGTCAACCAGTAATGAGATGACTTCTGAATTGTCAGCCTCCTGTGTTGAACAGGTAAATATTGGCCAGACTGCAAAGCAGATACTGTTGTGTGCCCTTCAGACGGCTCTGTGCAAAATTGGCCAGATAACTCAGTTAACAGAGTACCTGTTTAGAGTTCAGGGGTCCTGGGTTTGTGTCCTGGTCTGGTCCGTCAAATTTTCTCCCTGTTACATTTGGTGCTGTGACCACCATTGGACTGCACGTGACTTCTTGCCAGGGGCAAAAGAATCTGGGTTGGTGTCTTGGGGTGAAGTTAATGGAACGCAGGTTCAAATTGCAGTCTGTTCTGTAAAATTTTCTCCCTTCCTGCAACATAAGAATTAATGGTTCTTCCATGTATTTGTTTGTCCAACTTTGCATTGTGTGAATTTTCAATTATTTGTTTTAAAATTTGAAAATTGACTGATCTTGAGTAAAACTGTAGTTGTTATTTTTGTTTAAATTATTCATTCAAGACATGTTTCACAGAATACATGTAACACTGAAATGACAGATACTGCAGGTATCCTTTATTAAAGAGGAATTTCTTCAACTGAACTAATCTGAATAACTAATTTAACACTGATTTTCCCATGTAGGCTGTGCACCAGTTTTATCAGAATGCAGGCAGTCAGCAGCAACAACAGATCCAGCAATGGCTGACTCTAACCCAGATTTCCCCAGAGGCCTGGAGCTTCTGCTGGGAGCTTCTCTCCCCTGAAAAGGTAGTGCAAATGTATTACCCATATAAGGATCTCCTTTATGTATGTCCAGAGAAAATTATCTTAAAGAATTGTTAAATTTCTAAATCATTTGTATCAAAGTAACTTTCAAATTTTCAAGCCAGGCTGGTGTAGATTTCCATGAATCCAGTATAATTATCATGACACTTTCTGGTATCTGATGTAAATTATTTAGACTTTCAGATAAATAAAGCTTTAAATTTTTAGATTTTGCCTTCTCATGTCCTCATTATTTAAACATAATTTTTGTCATATACATGTAGCAGTACATGAATCACTTTTTCAGACTGTGGAAGTAAAATTCTATGGAGCAAATACTCTTTATGCAAAAATCTCCAGATACTGGTAATATTTCCTTTTATCTATTGTGCTTGGAATCTTAGTGAAATTCTGTCTTACACGTGATTCAGAGGTTTATTTGTCCTTGATTTTTTGTATAACATTTTAGGGCCGAGGTACCTCCGGAACAATATGACAATCTCCGTAGTAGATTACTACAGAAAATCATGGAGCTGTGTAGTGGAGATAAAATTGTCACAACACGCCTTTGTATCTCTGTAAGCTTATAATCCTGATACAGTTCATTGTCAGTTCATGTTTGTAAATCTATGGATACTTCCTCTGTACATTTAAAGTAAATTGTGCATTGTATATAACCATTCATAAAATTGCAAGCTACATATATTTGATGATAGATCTATAATGCATTTCATGGAGATTAAAAGAGAAAATTGAGAGAAATTGACATAAAAATGGAAATAAAAGGAAAAATTGGAAAATATTTACATGATGTACTATTTTAAACAGTTGGCATGTCTGATCCTACACATGACCCCTGAGGAGTGGCCTGACCCCGTCCCTCAACTTATCTCTACCTTCCAGTCCCTCCAGAATGTCACAGTGAGTAGAAATAGTACATCTGTACTGGTTTTATCAGTGGGAATGTTTGAGATAGCCATTAAGGTATTTAGTAATAATTTGATTTATATTTTACAGGAAGTTCAGAGATGCCAAGTATTGTTAGAGATTCTCCGTGTGCTTCCAGAAGAAGTGAGTTTTTGTTATTTGTGTATTGTTTAGTCCCTCTTATTTCTTGTTTATTATACTTTATTATACATGTATGTGAACATTGATGAATAACTCTGGATTTAAATTTTATGTACAATACACAGATTTTATGTTTTACTGATATTCAGTTTTTCAGTGCCAATTTAAGCCAAAGCAGGAGATTGGTTCTGAAAAATGAGCTTCTCAAAAGTCTTTCACATGGTTTGTAAAAGTTTAATTTATCTTGCTGATCTATTTAGTATCATATTTCTCCATAAATTGCACTTTGATGAATTTGTATCCTCTTACTGTGTGATTCACAGACCTTTTGACTGGTCTCAGCATATGATACATGTATTTATCTCTGTTTCCTATCCTGCTTGTCTTATTTTGAATTTTTAAAGTATCTTCCATAGTGTTTGAATAATAACTTCATAATTTTGTACACAAGTAACAAAAATGTTGTGAAGTTCGGGACCGCGCAGTGCCGATTTCGTTACCTGTTTCTCAGAATTTCAGAAGATACCTTCCATTTTACACATATTTATAAATGTGAAGGTGTAGAAAACAATTATTTTAGGGCCTAATAGAATTTTTAATAGAATTTGATCATTCAAGCAAACAAAAACGTTCAGAAATCAAGTTTTATCAGCCAAGTCTGAAAATTTGTCGGCGAGATTGACATTGAAGTAGCACTACAATTTATTGATTTCTGAGGAATTAAACTTATAAAATTGATAATTATAATTTAACCATCAATTATATCATCACACATAATTTTTATTATTTATACAGACAATTTTGGCTTATTAAAGCCGTTATACATGTTGAAAATATCTATTTTACAATTTACACCTGCTTTCACCTGAATTATTTATTTACAGAAAATTCCGATCAAAATTATGCTAAAAGATTTGAAAAATTTAATTTATTACGAATCCAGTGATATATAATACATAGCATAAATGAAATATTTTGACCCCCATTAGTTCAGTTTTAAACTGCACTCCAATTCATCTAAAACGGTCCAAGGGGCAGCCAGGCAAACACTCTAAGGATATGGCCAGTGCGTCAAATCGTGGCATTAAGTGGTAAAGAGTTAATGGCTGGCTGCATAATTTTTACTATTTGTATAACTGTTTTCTTTATGATTCTGTGTTGGACTTATGTTCATGAATTTTCCTTTGGTTGTATTATTTAGTAATTCCCCTGCTACAAAGCCTATTGTTGCCCGGTGCCCCGTCAGAAATACAGAAGTCTGTGTTACAGTGTTTCTCCAGCTGGTTAGATTTAGGCTCCTTGTTCAGAGAGGCAGAGAGCATCATTTTACAGACATTCCAGTGTCTCCACAATCCAGATCTGTTTGACACGGCTGTAGAGACCCTTGTGAACATCTTCACTCACCCCAGCTGTGAAAGGTATCTTGGAAAAATTTATATTGCAAATTAATGCCATTTTGTATTTCCAATTTTGATAAAAAGCGAGGCATAACTTGACAATTAAACAATATTTTAGGTATCAAAACACAATGAAGAAATATCTGTCATGTGTTTTGGGGTTACAGGACACATTCATGAAGGCTCGGGACTCTATGGATATGGTATGCCTATTCAAGAATTATATTTCATTGTTAATAGATAAGGAAAATGTATCTAGTATTATTTTGTACTGTAACTTGAAAATAGATGGGGAATTCAAAAATAGAATGAGTAAATCAATAGAATTTTTGACACTGCAGTGACTAGGATTTTTTAAAATACTGTGACAATGAAGGATTTTTGACAATACAGTGTTATATCATTGTACATGTATTTTGGTTAATGTATGATGTGTAACTTGAATTTTTCTGTAATATTTCTAGGATGTTTGTCAGAGGGTGGGACAGATCATTATTTCCTATGCTGAAAACAACATCTCCCTCTTACTTGAGTGGGCAATTAGTCCCGAAACAAGGGAGACAACAACCAACTTCATAAATCTAGTCCTGGTAATACATATACACACAACTTTATTCGTCTATAAAAAATATAAGTAATTTGATTAATGACACCATAGAATTACAGAGTTATTGCTGTTCTTTATACAGACCTGCACTGCAATTCCTGGCCATTTTCCAGTGGATGAGAATTTCAGCAACATGTTTTTCACGTTTTGGTATCTCTTACAAGTAAGTTTTTTAACCATGTCAAAGCTTTTACATTTTTTTAACACTACACCCATTTCAGTCACAGATATAATATACTTGCATATCAAAAATATACATGTATTTTTAATCTGTGTGTTGACCAGAATTTAGGTACTTTTTCACATGCATATCTAGTCAGAGCTCGGGATTTATTAGTAAGACAAAAATTGAGTATTAGTAACCTATATTTAGGCAAATAAGATCACAGCAGATTATATCTAAATGAATGTGTTCAAAGAACAAAAGTAAACTGATGCCTTCCTCCCATGACTAGCTGATGGATATTTCATTATACACATATCCCATTTTAACAGTGTGTTTGACTTTTTCTTTGTTAACGGAATGCCTTCTGTCTATGACTAGATCTGAACACCTCATTATATCCCACTTTTACAGTGTGTCAGACTTTTGTTTGTTAACAGAATGCCTTCTGTCTATGACTTGTTCTGAACACCTCATTATATCCCACTTTTACAGTGTGTCTGACTTTTGTTTGTTAACTGAATGCCTTCTGTCTGTGACTAGTTCAGGACCCCTCATTATGTCCCACTTTAACAGTGTGTTTACCTTTTGTTTGTTAAATGAATGCCTTTCACCTATGACTAGTTCTTGACACCTCATTTTATCCCACTATTACAATGTGCCTTTTGTTTGTAGGATGGTATACAGGACTCCCCTACTGACCGATCTAAAGTCCTACACCAGATGTTTTGTCCAGTGTTTCTGTCCCTCATCCAGACTCTCCTGGTGAAAGTCCAGTACCCAGAGGAAGAGGAATACAACTCGTGGACAAAAGGTGACATGTTACAGCCATGTAAAGTGTTGAGGCAATGTTTTACCTATATATAAGTTACATATATTCTATTCAGATATTTTGTTAACTAGCATTTATTTTTATAGTTACAGATCTGTAAGTCACTGTTTTGAAAAAAAATGACCCCAATCCCAATTTTTTCAGATAGTGAACTACAGATCTGCAGGTATACCTTTTGTAAAATCATATAATTAAGAAATCAAAAAGATGACCATTTAAACAAGAACAATTATTTTTTAGATGAAAAAGAACAATTTCGGTGCTACAGACAGGATATTGGGGATACAATGGTAGGAAACCTCAGATGATGATGATAAATTAACATTGAAGGCTTTTACATAACTTGGCATTTAAATGATATACCTGTATATATGTAAATATGTATTTCAAGGTATAATTTTACTTTTTTATAAAGCAGAAGTCCTCATATATAACAATAGTATCACAAGTGCATTGTGTATCAGATTATCACATACTGTAAATCAACTATTTGAACAAAATTTTTATTTGGGATTCATCAGTCTGAGACCTATCCATGACTGTCTAGTGTTATTTTTGTCACCAAAGATAAGTTTTAGATAAATATGCAAATAAATGGTTCCCATTGAGAATTATTGGCAAATGAAAGTTCCAAAACTGCTGGATATGTCTTGCAAGTGAATTAAAGTTGGTTTATGGAAAACTGTGTCACATTTACTAAACACATGAAACACATGAGTTACATATTAGGCAGTGTGTATTAACAAACTAAAACAAAGGTGAGGATTGTGTCTATATATTTTATGGGCTCTGTGTTGTAGATGTGTGTCTATATACAGTGTACATTGTGTGCTCTATGTTTTAGATGTATTCCTACAGTATACTAAGAGAACCATTACTTTTGTAGATGTGTGTCTATATACAGTGTACATTGTGTCCTCTATGTTGTAGATGTATTCCTACAGTATACTGAGAGAACCCTTACTAGGCTTCATGTGTAACACACTCAACAGTGCTGCTGAAAACCCAAAGGAGGCACAATGGCAGGTCAGTTAAATCATTGTCAAGTAAAAAATCTAAACTTGTCATTTAAATTGGAACATCTCTAGTCAAAGTTTTGTTCATCCATCTTCAGTCTCTTTTTTTGTACACTTTAATTATTTTTTCATTTAAAAATGTAATGTACTGTATTGTGATTAAAATATATTCATTTTTGAAATTACATGTATATTCATGAGGTACACTTGAATATAAACAATTTTTATTATGTTAGTTTTAAAATCCATCGGCTTTCGGGCCAGTGTGTTACTTTTATCAAATGTTGAGATGTAATTATTTTTCTTTTTGCAAGAGCAAGATGAAATGGATGAGCATTGTAGCCCATGGGCCTATTGTGACAATTCATTTTAAAACAGGCATTTTAACAGTCTTATTTAAATGTAGATTCATACTTGATTTTACACTCAGTCTGGTTTCCAGATTTATAGAGTTCGAATTTTTTTTCTTTGTGTAGTTGATAGAGGCCATTTTTTTCCTGTTTTCCTCGGTGGCGGAGAATGTTGACCTGGAAGAGGAAGTTCATATACCGAGCATGCTCAGTGTGCTTCCCAAACTTCCCTTCAACAACATTAAGTACATCTCAGGAGCATTAAAAATGATCGGTAGGTCCACTTTGTACATGTGTGAGAGTGAAGGGACTACATGTACCCTCACTTGGAAAGTGGGAGGGGGTGGGGTATAGTGTATGCTTTTGGGTACCCATCTCTTATCTGCACTCCTCCTATACCACTGAATAAAATTTCACAGAATCTTTATTACATAGTGCCATTGTGCACCTCTTATTTTACTTTGATCAGACAAATTTAATTTTGTATTTAATTCAGAACTTTTAATAGTGTTTTCCATGTTCGACACCATTGAAGCCTTTCAAGCTCTAGATTTTATACACAGAATATCACATTGCTGATTCAATCTCAGCCCTGATATCAGCCCGAGTGGTTGGTATCAACACAAGCCCAAAGGGGACTTTGAAATCTGAGGGTGATACACCCCCTTAGTAACAGGGCACGACAGAGTAATCTCACCCTCAGGGCAGTTAGTCAATGCTCCAACCAGCTGTCTCAGCAAGTCAAAAGCCTCTCTATCAGAGTTGATACACTAATGGATATATGATATAATTGTGTATCAGTTTTGTTACTATTTGTGTATCTAGTGTTACCCTTAGCTGTATCAGTATTGATATAGTTGTATCAGTAGGGTTACCCTTAGTTACAGTTGTATCAGCAGTGTTACTTTTATTGCAAGTGATTTTATATTGTTACAGTGTTTATTAATGTTGTTGCCTAGAATTACAGTTGTATAGGCATTGTTATCCATTGACTGTACATGTGGGTTTTTTTACAGGTTCTTTCAGTGAGTGGATTAACTGTCACCCTGAGTCTCTAAACTCTGTGATCCCCCTTATTCTCCAGGGACTGCAGGGGCTTCAGAATGGGGAGATAGCAGAGTCAGCCACCATGTCATTAAAAGATGTCACAGCAGAGAATCTCGACCACATACAACCATATGCTCCACAAATCCTGGGGTCATGTCAGGTACTTATCAATAGCATACAACATATGCTGCATAAATCATGGGGTTGTGTCAGGTAATTATCAATCATCTGGGGTTGTATCAGGTAAAAGATTAATTTTCAATACCTGTAGAAGTTAAATTTTGCTATTTAACAAAAGTATCTTTATGTCTATTCATAGAAATAAAATGTAAATTGTTTTTTTCTTGATTTCAGCATGCCTTTCAGAGTGGATTGTTGAAGGTAATTATTTTGAAAAGAATATGAATACTAGCTATTTTCAACATTTCATAATTAAAACAGTTTAGTGATAATATCAACATTACTTTTATGATACTTTGCATCACTTGTTTTCATGTTAGAGACAAGAAAGCTACATTCATTTTAAAAACACTTCTTTTGGATTTTACATGTACATGTATATCCACACTATGTGTAGAGTTACATCATGTAATTATGTAATATAGACAAGGAATTGAAACAATTCACAAAATTGCAAATCATGTAAATGTTTATATAAGCAAAATGTGATGAAGAATATTAAAAGAAATCAAGTGGGTATCATTATTGTTCTTTTAATTGCTCTAAAGAAGACCCCAGAAGAAAAGAATATAAATTTACAGGGTTTATTGATTCTGTGTAAGATTTGTTGTGTATAATACTTGTTTTTCCTCCCTAGACTCGTGACAGTATGAGGCTGATGCACTCCGTGGGGCAGGTCCTATCTGTGATGAAGTATGAGGAGATTATGCAATACCTCACAGACCTACTGTCTCCTCTGATTCAACAGCTCCAGAATCTAGTCACACAAGAGGTCAGTCTGAGACCTATATCTTGTTCTTAGTTCCTAGTACCAGACATTGACTTATCCATTTTATATTGACTTGTTTCAGCCCTCTACACCTGTTAAAGCCAGTATCCTGTCCCGGTTGGCCATACTTGGCTCATTATTTTCCTCACTGGACACTGATCGAGACAGGGAGGAAGGACCTCAAAAGGTCAAGGTCAAACCTAAATCAACATCCCCCAAACCAGTAAGTGTTGGTGGTGAGGGTCGGTCAGTAATTCTCCGCCTCACCAAGGATTACATGTTGGATAATTTATGCAGTTAAGTCCACATAAAAACTCAGTAAAACTTTATGATTTTTGTATCCGTACTTCTGATCCTCTGTTTATAGGTGGCAGTGCTCCTCCAGCAGTTAGCCCCCATTATACAGAGTCTGCTAGCAAACTGGATCAATGATCCAGGAATCATAGAGGTAGTAGATCACAAAATCATAAAAAAAAATTGAAACAGTGTTCGGAAATTTTTGGCTATTGTGACGGTTAAAATAAAAAGAATATGTATTGTTTCATATATTATTTTATGATGTGGTTAATGATTCTAAGTATAGTATATTTTTGTAGGGAGTCTGTGATATGTTTAAACATGCCCTGCGGACACTATTGGATGATTTTGCTCTGCTGTCTAAGGATGTAGCCGAGATGTTGGTACAGATGTACCAGGTCAATCCAAGTCCAGCCATCTTAGATTTAGCTAAACAGGTATATATGTACTGTGGAATAAACATTTAATTTCCTTCAGAGTCCTGCTTAAATCTTGCATTCATTCAAGCTTTTTTAAGTAAGAAAACTAAATTTTGATAACAATAAGTGTATCTTTTTTTAAAATAATAAAAAAAACTCCTCTTTTTTTAAATGAGTGCTTTTACAAACCTAACTAACATTTAACACTCTGGTTGATTGTATGTTGGCAGTTGATTATTATGCATCATGAAGATCCACAGTTAAATACAGTGGTTACAGCTCTGTTAGGGAATATTTGCACAGTGACGCTGGAGCTTTTCACTAAAGGTTGGTCAATCAATGTTAATGTTCCTACTCAGAGAAACTTTATGTAAACAAACCTTCTGCAGCTGAACTCGTTTCTTTCCATTACAGGACCTCAGGACTACACTGACGTGATTGAAGCTTTCATGAATCTCTTATCTCAAGTAAGTCACACATTGTATATACAAAGCTAAAATCATGTAGTAAATAAACCTAATACAGTATATTCACTCCTGTATATAATAAATGTATAGGGACTGTTCAGTGTTTTAAGAAAAGGATTATTTATTCAAAAGTATATGTAAAACAGCAAAGTGATTGAAATAGTGCTTAAGTGTACTAAAGGATACTAGAAAATGTGACTCTCCATCAACCTAGGAAATCTAAGTATCCAGACTACATGTTTCTGATGTTACAATGATGCCTAATTTAATGCAGAATTACAGAAAAAAAATTTTGCATTTGCATTTCACAGATGCTGCAGTTAGAGATCATTTTTGCTTGTCCAAAAGCACATTTTTCTTTGAATACAGTAAACCATCAGAAATTATTTATAACTTTTTAAAAATACATGTACCATATATACTGCAAATACATGTACTGTGAAGGCATGAATGCAAAAAAAAAATCTGAATCCTCCTCAAATCTGTATAATTCTCAATTCAAGCTACACTTTTCACTTAACACCATTGAAATCCATTTTTATGTCCCACCATGAATATGGCCGGGACATATAGTGTTTGTTATGTCTGTCTTCTGTCCTTCCCTCTGTCTTTCCATCATGCTTTGCGTTTAGCTCTGTTCAAAGCTCAGTTTCAAAGAAACTATCCAAGATATTTTTATCAAACTTCATATGCTGATAGATATTGATGAGAGCTATGCAACTGCTTCAACATATATTGACCTTGACCTTTCCTTTGACCTTGACCTCACTTTTCTTAAATTAGTGTTTAGCTCAGTTTTAAAGATACCATTCAAGGTAGTGTAATCAAACTTCACATGTTCATATATACTGATATAAGCTATTCAACTGCATCAACATTTTTTGACCTTGACCTTTCCTTTGACCTCATTTTTCTTAAATTAGTGTTTAGCTCAGTTTTAAAGATAGCATTCAATACAGTGTTATCAAACTTCACATGTTGATACATACTGATGAGAGCTATTCAACTGCATCAACATTTTTTACCTTGACCATTTCTTTGACCTTGACTTCACTTTTCTCAATTTGTGATTAACTCAGTTTTAAAGAGAACATTCATAATATTTTTATCAAACTTCATATGCTAATACATACTGATGTAACCTTTTCAACTGCATCAACATTTTTTGACCTTGACCTTTCCCTTGACCTTAACTTCATTTATTTTAAATTAGTGTTTAGCTAAGTTTTAAATAAACTCTTCAAAATATTTTGTCAAACTTTAATATGCTGATATGTATTTGTGAGAAGTATTCAACTGCATCAAAAACATTGACCTTGAACTTTCCTGTGACCTTGACCTCACTTTTCTTAGATTTGCATTTTGCTTAATTTGAAAGAAACCATTTAAGATATATTTATGTAAGTTTATGCACTTATACATAATTTGATGAGAATTTATCATCTATATCCAACATTTTAGATTTCAATTTTAAAGGAACTTTTTAAGATATTCTCATCAAATTTCATACACTAATACAAATTTTCATGTTGCATTACTAATATACCCTCATCAGGACATTCATGTCCTATGGACATATTTCTAGTTTGAGATATATCTACCAAACAAATTGACAAATATAAGTGATGCCCTTCCAACGTTATTGGTGGCTATTATGATTGAAAATGTGCCAAAATTTTAAAACATAATAAATGAGAAATACTGCAGTAAGCTCTTTCATGAGAGATGATTACTATTGAAATGTTTTCTTTTGATCATGGATCTGAAGTCTGTATTGTGTAGCCAGTATTGTACTTTGTAGGTTCTCAAGAAAAGCAAGAGTGTACTGACAACAGAACAATGTGTGTTACAAATCTCCAGTCTTTTTCACTCAGGTATTTTTTTAAATGGTATTTTGTCTCCATTTTCTAAAGAAAAAAAAATACTGAAATTTTACTTTTTTTCAATGAATGCCCAATATTTGATTTCAGCTCTGCAGGCCTTGTCCTTACCAGAACACCAAACAGTCAAAGCCACGTGTTCGTTTCTGGCAAGTCAACTTTTTCTTGTATCATTTAAGATCAATTTATATAAACTTGTATCCGTTGATCCACTCCTTTAGGTCACTATACTAAGGATGTAACCAGGTTCTGTTTGAGTTTATCTTAGATTTACCTATTTATATATAACAGCCAATGGACATTATCAATGACTTCATAGATTAGGAATTAGATAATGATATTGAACTGTGACTTTTTGACCGATTTTTAGCAGGGAGAAAAATCTTAAACATATTAGAAATCACTTCTGCTTAGCTTACTGATGAGATAAATTTAAGGGATATACATGTAATTATTTGATTGCAGGGAGAATTCCTGTCAGCAGGGGAAACCACTCCTGTTATAAAGGCTCTTGTTCAGGAGGAAGGAAGTCTTTTACTGGATAAAATACTGAGAGTAAGTGCCCCATATACATTCACTGTTCTGCAAAATCAATTCTATGAAAAAATCTGATATTAATAATCTCCTGCAGAACTGTAAAGGGAGATGATTTGAGTTGATTACAGATTTTTAATGGCTAGCTGTATTACTATGTATGCACAGGGCTTTTAACATGTACAGCAGATTCATGCAAGTCTCAATTTCAGGTCTTAATACACATTAACATTTTTAGAGCTTTTATAATATATAAACATTTTGCAGGCAGTAGGTGGTGAGGCTGCGAGGGGGTTGGTTGAAAACCTGTCTGATGTTTTCTTAATGATTAATAAACATTACCCAGAAAACATGCCAGTGTGGATGAACCAACTCATGAAGCAGGAGGGTTACCCCTCCCCCAAGGTCAGCCAAGAGGACAAAGAGGTCTTTATCAAGGGTATCCTCAGGTAAATAATAATCAGATGATTACGTAAACTACAGCCTCTGTTCTAACAAAGCACAGATTAAATCTGGCTTACAAGTTAAATGTCCAACTGCTGATCGCAATTTCCAAATTTATTTCAATGTCTTCATTTAAGAACATTTTCATTTTGTATCACTTTTTTCAAAGGGAGAAAATCAACAAAAGGAAAATACGTGAAGTATCCAAGGAGTTTTCACTAAAGTGTCGTGGATTATTTGGAACTGAATATGCTGCAAATACAGGGTTTTAGTGACCGAAAAAAATGTTTTTTTTTGTTTTTTTTTTTAAGTGTGCAATTCCATCCAAGACAGTGTCAGTGACTTGCTTCTGTGATAAGCTTATTTTGACTCATTTACCCCCATTAAAATATATACAAACATCAACTCGATTTGTTGTATTTGCATGGTAGCCAAACATTTCAGCTAATCAGAAATTCTCTCTGATTGTCAGGGTTCTCACTAGGGTTTTGTTGAGTTCTAGGACTCAAGGTTTTTGAGAAATTCAAGCTTCAGCTAACATTTGATATGTCCAAGAAAAATTAGGTTGAGTCCTGATTGGGTTTTTGCAGTATCCTTCCATCCAAACAACAAGAAAAATCTTCAATTGCTCAGCAGTTATATTTATTTTGAAGATTGTTAGGGTTTTAATCCAGTTTTATATCAACTGTACATATGTATTATTTGAAACGGTGCTGATTATTTGTTCAAAATCTTGCATCACATTCCCCTGGAAGGAAGGGGGTAACAGTATACCTGAGTAATGGAAGAGTTATTACAATAGATTCTCAGAAATGCTATATGTTCAATGTTTCAAGTAATTAAGTTTTTCATAATGATATATAAATATTTTCAGTATTGATCAGAAAATTTTTCAGTAAAGCAATATCATTTTTTCTGTAATGCAAAAATGTGGAAATACAAGATTCCTAGGTGTAAAAAAAAAATGCTATTAATCAAAGTTTGGCATGAAACACTATGGATTAATACTTGTAAAATATCTTGATATCAAGCACATCCCTGTTGAAAAAAGGAATAGGTACAACAAAAAGTGTTTACTGGAATAGAACATTTATATTTTAAACTTTATACAGTTTTTACATTCAATTTGCTTCAGACAAATCCTGAGATCTAAAATCTTCAATTTTCAAAACCGTTTTTCTCATTAACAACAAGGACGCATCCACTAACGAGTCACAGATGCAGTTTTTAACAAAGTTGCGTCCAACATGATTTTGCTTGTCCATTAAGCAGATTCTTGCATTAATGAGAACTCTGGATTGAGAAGATAAATTGTGCAATTTAACATTCCAAAGCCAATTTACCAATAGCTTTTGTATGACATTCTGATGGCATAATAAAGCAGTATATGAAGAATAAGACTTTTTTCAGCCATTTTTCTATGAAATTTAAAAAAAGTGCATAAAAATTCCAACACTGCATAAGAAATAATATAATAGGTAATTACAGTACACTTCAATTTAAATAATAAATGACCATATTGTATTACATTTACCAGGTAATGAAGAAAACACTATTTATAGGTGAAAAGGAACAAGTTTGATCTTTGCATTATTGTCTGGATGTCTTGTTACAATTTGACACCTCAACAAAAGCTCCACATAAGGAGGCCATATACTGTCATCTACATCAATGTATGGATCATTAGGATCTTCCATGCATTTATTCACTAAATCTTCCAGAATTGATTTCAGGGAGACTAAGTTTTCTTCTGATTTTCTGTCTGAAGATCTCAGTTTTTTACGAGCTTCACTCACAACTTCCTTAGTTGGCATAGGAAAGTGCTTATTAATAAATGCACCTAGACTGCCTCTAAGTTCCTTCCCCTGCTTCTTGGCATTCTTTACTCTCTCCTCTAGCTGTAATCTGTAGCTGTCCTTGGGTTCTTTCTTTGTACTCTGCTCCTGGATCTTGTTGGCTAGAGCTGTTTGGACTTTACTCAGCTGTTCTCTCACGTCTTTCTCTTTAGATATATCAGCTGCTAAAACTTTACGCTGTGATCGTGTTGCTGACAAGGTCAGTTGAAGCTCCTCTATACTCTTTTCGTATTCCTGGATTAGTATCTCCATGTGGACATGTTCACTGGTTGGTTTATTTAGACTCGAATCTGAAGAAGTGGCAGCTGTCAGATACTCGAATTGGGTTTTCTCAATAGTGTTTTCACCATCTTTGTATGTTTTGGGTTTCACTGCAGATTTGCAGTCACTGAACACATGTTCAAATGTTCTATACAAATCGCGACCCATCCCATTATCCATTTGAATTCCTCTCAATCTCTCTTGTTGTTTTAGCTCAATATTTACAATTTACCCGCTTTATAAAATGGACATCTTGATCCCGACTTTTGATGGTGCCTCCTTTTTGATCCCGACTAGGAAGAACTATAATTTGTGTCAATATTGCACAGATTAAATGTGTATCCTTAACATTTATTTCTATTTTATAAAAAAAATGTATCAAATATAAGTAGATTATTTACTCATTTAATTCGTCTCGATAAATTCTTCATTTTCAATTTTATGGAGTGTGGGTAAAACGAGTACCAAGAATAAACTGGTGTTCTTTCTAGGGTTGTGAAGGACTTCAAAAGAGAGTACACAAAAGAGAACACGTGTACCACTTCATATTGATTGAAATTAAAAACTTTATTATAAAAATCAAGCATCTTTTGTTGAGTAAATTACAAGAGTTGATAATTCGTTCCTAATGCATGGTAAAATAGACATATTTAATATTTAATATAGTTTATTTCCAATCAAGGGAATACAGAGAGGCATGAGATACAAACTTGTAGACAAAGTCAGTAATCATTAATGAGATAAAATAAAAATGAATAAAATAAAATATATATAGAGGAAGTTGTTGGACTTTAAAATGTTACATTTCGTTTCCCACTACATTTTTCTTTTTTTCTTTCTTTCTTTTTTTTTAATGGAAGATATTCTTAATCTGGTTATGCTCATTCTAAAGTAAAACTTATTCAGTAATGTTAAATATTCTTCATATTCGAAATTACTTTTAACATAAAAATCCAGTTTTTCAGAAGAGTTATTCTTTAGTGTTGAGCCTGGAGCAAAGAAACTTGCGGATTTTATTATTGATGATAAGTTTGAATTTAGATAGACTCAAAGAGGACGCATTTTCAGATATTTCTAAAATATTCGAAAATTCAGGTATGCAAGAGAACCATGAGTCTACTCATGCTTAGTGCATGAGTAAAGAATTAATAAAAGAATTGTAAGAGAAATAAGACATTTTCTATGACAATATAACAACATTGATTTTATGATATCGATATAAAATGGAAATCTTCCAAGTTCTGACATTACCGCAGGAATTTTCTTATGAATTATGAATACAGATTAAACTTCAAATGCAACATGTCAGGTTCTGAAAATTTATACACATTGCCATTTCTGAATCGTGGTAAATGAATTGAGGTTAAACATACCCCGTATTTCGCTGCCATATAACAATATTGGCTTAATTGTATGGTAAATTGTAGACTATTTTAAAAGAAGGATGAAATATCTTTAAATAACTTAAAATAACATTTTAAACAAAACCTTTTTTGGAACAGTGGATCTTAAATTGCTGCAAAAAGGTACCCGATGTAGTGAAATAAACACCAATTGATATTCTCATAATTGAGAAAATTTTCAAGTATACTAGCTATTATTCAATAAAATTTATTCTTCAATTTTTGATAGTTTTTAAAAAAAAAAACAAAAAAAACTACCACTTTGTTTTTACACAGTTACACTTTAACACCTAAAATTGGTACAATCAATGCCTCTAGAATGCAACTTATAATGACTTTAAATTATTAAATTAGTATAAAAAAAAGGGGGGGGATTTAATGCGAAGTAAAAGTATTATTAAACTAAATTGATAATAATTTTAAAAAATGGACAATATTAATGAAGGGAAACAACCATGAATAACCGAATTAACATTGATTATATGGTATGAAAGACATGTATATGTTGGAAGTCATTATTATTTTTTAAGTAATAGAAAATAAACTAAAATGCCAAGTTTTTGTCCAAATTATGCAAAACAGAATGAATAACATCGATAACCTATACTTTTAAATAATTTCACAAATACATATTTTTGTATTTTAATCTGCAAAAACAGAAGGATGTCATGCATGTCAATATATAGCGTCTTCGGTACATATTTTACCGAAACTCATACTTGCATCAGAACCGATTCAGCGATTGCAAAGAAGTAAGTTGAAAATCTTAAAGAACCAGACTATTTCATGAATTTATGGGTTATTTACACAAGTTCATTGAAAAGTAAAAACTTTTCCACATTGGTATATCCACAGGTAAGATCATATTCTTATTGAAACGGGAAAACCGGGGTGTTGAACCTTACTTGTGCCCACGTGAAAAGACAGCTGTTAGTCCATTTTTATACGTATGTTTAAAAATATACCGGTCTTTGAGTTACATATAAGTATTGAGAACCAATGAAACAATACATTGTTAACTTTAGAGTCAGATTCGACCATAATGTACATGAAAGTAGAAAAATAGCCAGAGGAAATTCGAACTATTAAAAGAATTGATCCTTTCAGACAAACTGGGATTTTAAGGTATCTTTGTTCATAATTTATTGGAAAACATCCTAAATAGCTGAAGATTTTTTTGCAGTTGGATGAATATAACTTCAGAATTCATAGATATGTATGTGACAAAATGAGTCTTTGAATTTTAAAACACTTTCTTGTAAGAATTTTCTTTTCCTTTCTGTAAAAAAAGAAAGAAAGGAAATCACCCCCCCCCCCCCCCCCCCCAGTTTATCAGATTTATATTTTGAATGAGATAACAAAAAAATATGAGAATATCAATTTTTTATATGTGAAGTACCATCTTTGCTAGCCAAGGGTTTATGATCAGCTTCCCTCCTCTCCAAGGGTTGAAGAGGGGAGCAGATTGTAAATCTTTTGGCGAGCAAAGATGGTAAAGTACAGTAAAAGTTCATTATGACATCACATTGCATCTAATTTCTTTTCTAGAGTTACACATAGCAGAGTGCCATCATGGTGTTGTCGTGTAGGTTCTACAAGAACAAATACCCGGAGGTGGAGGATGTTGTCATGGTTAATGTCCGATCCATCGCTGAGATGGGAGCCTACGTACACTTACTGGAGTACAATAATATCGAGGGCATGATTCTCCTGTCTGAGCTGTCTAGACGTCGTATCAGATCCATCAACAAACTCATCCGTATTGGACGTAGTGAATGTGTGGTCGTGATCAGAGTAGACAAAGATAAAGGTTTACAAATTCGCAGATTTAACGTGAAATATTTGATTTTATTTTTGTATCTATCTGCAGTAACTGTTATAAATTTTAGTTCTCATTTCTTCATACTTTAAATTTCTTCAAGATTAATAATGGACTCATTTACAGTAAACACACTAATAACAAAGTGCAAGGGATTGACTATTTTGCTTTGTTATAAACATAATTAGTTATGTATGTTAAGTTAACTATATATTTTAGAGCCCTGGGGAATGAAAATCACTTCACTGTTGGTGTCAATTTGTCTTAAGCGTGTTTGCTATAATTGTGTTTTACTGTATAATTTTTATGAATCTTTCAAGAGCCAACTGTATTTATTATGCTATAGAATGGAACACAAAGTAGTGCTAAAGTATTAACTGAGTTTTTTATTACAGTTTTATTGTGTTTGTTTTATTTGTGTTTCTTTGGTTAATATATATTTTGTCTACCTAGGATACATTGATTTATCAAAAAGAAGAGTCTCCCCAGAGGAGGTCACAAAATGTGAAGAAAAGTTTGCCAAAGCCAAGGCTGTAAGTCATTGACTGCAAACATAGGGAGAAGTTGTCTAGCTAAAAACTGTAAATTATCATAAATAGTTTCTCATTATTTAAAACTACAAAGTTATCATGAGCACAAAAGGAATTGTAATTTTACAGGTGAACAGTATTCTACGTCATGTGGGAGAGCTGATGAAGTACACAAGTGATGAACAGATGGAAGAGTTGTACACAAAAACAGCCTGGTTCTTTGATGATAAATACAAGAAGCCGGGGGCATCATATGAAGCATTTAAACATGCTGTGACGTAAGGATGTTTTGATAATTCGGGAATTACAACAGTGTATTATTAATTCTATCACCTTTTTCACTGACATAGTTGTCCCAATTAATAGAGAAATCGTTACATTAATTACTTATTAGGTTTGTTTACTGACTGTCCACAGAAATATGGAGGGTTGTTAAAGCCCATGGAAGGTGAGGCAATTTCTGTGGACAGTCAGTAATAAACCTAACAAGTGTTTGCATTGTCGAGGACCAATAATTAGCAAACCTACCGAGATCAATTACAATTAAGCAATTTTCTCTCCTCTGCAAATCTCCTCACTTGTCATCTTGTTGCTTATTGATTACGTCACTCAAAAAGGGGCACTACTTTAAATTTAATCGCAGAATTTCCAAATGGGTAGGAACCTAATGAATTTATTTTTTCTTTTAAAAGTCAATATAGCACTGGCATGATTTTTCTCTTTAAATTTGGATGTCATTTTATCTACCATGGTGCCGTCCAAATTTTGCTACTCACCGTCCAAAGAAAAATATTTAAAGGCCGAGGTTTTCAACCGGTCGGTTTTCATCAGGTAAATTCAGTGTGGGGTGGAGCTTAATTGAAATGGCTGAGAAGTCCTGAGGGAACCAAGCTGGCTTGTGTATACCTACCTATATATACGGGATGTTAGTCATGTTACCTGTATATTACCTGTAAATGTTTTCCTAAGGCATTGTTTAACTTCGCGTGTTGGTCAATCGAAATGCTGATCGTCAAATTTATGAAATAAAACATGCTAATTTTTTTATGTAGACTGATTCCTTTAGTTCAATTCTTTTTTAAAAATATGTCTGAATAAAGGAGACAATTTTAGTTTAATTTTGTGCGTTAATAAATTTCAAATCTTTGGTTGTAAGCTGGCGACAACGAGGGAAATAGTCATTCGCAAAACGAAAGTAGAGAAAAGCGCAGTCCTGAATAACTATTTAAAACTTAGAAATCCTGTTTGAAGTCTAAATTTTGTAGAAAATATATAAAATAAATTAGATAAATATTTTTAATATAATTCCTATATGATTAACCCATGACGCATGGTTCGTAAAAATGGTCATGGCATCTGCGTATTGTTTCTCCGACAGGTAGATGAAACGGGAATATAATCACTTTATCCTACTTTTTTCCTTGGGATCCACAATTCTAAACATAACTTGTATATGCAATGACAGCTTTTATAATACTGCTTATTTCTCTTTAAAACTGGTTATTTTACCGTAACTTTCATCATCAGGTCTCCAAGAAATAGTACACGTCTTAAAATTTTTAACTTGGACAATATGACTATCTCATAATTATAAAAAAAGGAATTATTATTTTATTAAATTACACGATGCTTCCAATGCAGTTCAGTATTTTCTGTTTTAAGTAAAATTGATGTACGTGTAAATTTGGATAATCTATACCGCATTATAGATTGTATAGTGAAATGAACCCCCCTTTCTTAATTACAATTTAAATAGATACATGACTGATTTTCTTTTTCATTTACTTAATTATTTGACAGACTGATTAAATATAAATTATATATGGCTAATTACTTTATCTTAAAGTAAAAAAAAAAATAATATCAGCTCTGTCTGCTTCTGTATCACAATGTATGCGATAGGCATCAAAGACTGAATGTTGATTCAATGATCGGTACGATCCCCAGCCAAGGTATACAAGATATACACAACGGCAGGTAACAAAATGTCAATCAATTTTCAGTATCCAATCTCGGGCTTAATTTCATCTGATTGACAGGGGTTCACAGACCAGGTAAAATTGAGGGCGGTGCTTATTTCCTCCCCCTTTAAGGCAGACACGTGATGTCCATTTAATACCCAATGACAGTGTCATTCTAGTCCGAGGTAAAACAAAATGATTTGATAGGTTTAGAATTGAGGGGTCTAGAGATACAAATACAGTACCTATAAAAAATAGCATTAAAATATTAAGGATGAAAGCTTGCATGTTTGTAATTACTGTTAATAGACTAACACTGTCTGTAATGCTAATGCATTTATTTTTATCAAAGGAACCCTGAAATTTTGGATGAGTTGGAGATTGATGAAGAGACAAAAAATGTACTCCTACAAAATATAAAAAGGAGATTAACACCACAAGCTGTAAAAATTAGAGCAGGTAGGTTTCCATTAAAAAGATAAAGTTTTCCTATTTACACTGTTGGAGCATTTCTGTGGGAAGTGTGAGTATATTTGCTTTCTTTTTCTTTAATCAGATCTTGAAGTTGCCTGTACAAATTATGAAGGAGTGGATGCTGTGAAGAGAGCGCTAAAGAAAGGTCTGGAATTATCCACAGAAGCTATGCCTATCAAGGTACATAACTCCTAAAAACTAATATCTCTGTATTAAAATGTTTTAGCTATATGGACCCTGCAAGCATTTGAATGTGCCCTATAGTAATTACTAGTGTTGTAAGATTAGTCACTGACTATCAACAAGAGGCCCAAGGGCCTTAACGGTCACCTGAGTACAACAATTTAGAGGATCCATAAACGGATAAATGAAGCTTTAATTGTTAACCAATAGCAAGAAAATTAGTATGATTAAGATCAACAAAATAATTGGTCTAGTATCTTTCTATCTGCCCCCCATTTATCACTATTACCATGCAGACTTTCAAAAAATGTCTACATTATTACCCCTCACATTGGCCTTACTTGGCCTTTGAAGAACATTTAAGAAGATAAGTTATTTTTGTCTCATTTTTATTTATCTATTATTTCCAAGTCTACCTGATTATTAAAACTATGAAAGTACTTTTTATATTATACAATAAATGTTCTTGCATAATTCTCTTATTCTATTAACCTTTCAAATACATTATCTACAGTGATTAATTATCAAAAGTGAATGGCAAAGGGGAATAACTTCACTCAATAGAATACAAATTAATAGAGCCCTGGCCAGGACCAGAACACTTGACTAAATGGTCCAGATGTTGAAAATTTACAAATTTGGAAGAGGTACCCTCATCATCATAACTATGCAATTAGTTGAAGATTTTCAAAGAATTCACACATTTTCACTATATTATCAGTAGAGCCCCCCTCGCCCCCCTCAGAGAAACAACAGAACCCCTGGGACCACAAGTTTTAAAAAATTTGTAAAAGCATCCTTGCTCATCATAACTATACACTTGTTTCTTTGCTTTATAACCAGGAGAAGAAAAAAATATTTTGAAAGAAATTATGAATTTTCACTATATAATCAATAGAGCCCCCCCCCCCCCCCTTCACCAGAACCCCTGACCCAGGGGCCATGAAATTCACAATTTTGGACGAGGCAGCCATGCTCATTATAACTATGTACTAAGTTACTTTATTTCATACCCAGGAGCAGAGGAGAAGATTTTCAAAGATTTAATGCATTTTCACTATATAATCAATGGAGCCCCACCCTAAAGCCAGAACCCCTGCCCCAGGGGCCATAAAATTCACAATTTTGGAAGAAGCAGCTATGTTCATCATAACAATGTACTTAGTTAATTTATTTAATACTCATGAGCAGAGAAGAAGATTTTCAAAGATATAATGCATTTTCACTATATAATCAATAAAGCCCCTCCCTAACAATAGAACCCCTGACCCAGGGGCCATAAAATTCACAATTCTGGAAGAGGCAGCCATGCTCATTGTAACTATATACTTAGTTAATTTATTTAATACTCCTGAGCATAGAAGAAGATTTTCAAAGATATATTGCATTTTCACTATATAATCAATAGAGCCCCGCCCTAACACTAGAACCCCTGACCCAGGGGCCATAAAATTCACAATTTTGGAAGAGGAAGCCATGCTCATTATAACTATGTACTTAGTTACTCTATGTCACGCCCAGGAGCAGAGGAGAAGATTTTCAAAGATTTAATGCATTTTTCACTATACAGGTGACTCTCGATCTCTCGAAGTTCAAGGGACCGCAAGAAAAGTTCGAGAGATCGAAGGGTTCGAGAGATAGAAAGTGAATAAAATTCGGAATTTTCAGTTTCGATCATCATTGTTCTACTATTATGATACCGGAAGTATATGTCGATAATATCATAGCACGTTTTCATTCGTATTTTACAGGTAATTCACTTGATTTCAACAGCAATGATCGTATTTTGAATAAATAAAACGATCTCTTTAAGTATCACTATTTATTTGTTCTCATTTCATGATTACATGAAACCTGAATAGCAATCGTCGGTGTGGCTACCCCATGGCCCCGGGCTTGATCGGGTCCTTCACTAGAATTCTCGTATTAAATCGGTAATCAATTCTTGTGCAATGTTTGTCATACTAGGATTATTTAGACTCTAATAAAGCTTCATAATCTATGGAAAATTATTGACGTCTCTTAAATCATTTTCTAAAAATGATCGTCTCGCTTTCAAGTCAAAATATGTTGCGAAACAATTCTTTTATAATTTAGCAATTATAACCAATAAAGAATTAATTATATCAACACTCAGATCCTTACAGGTAAAGTGTCATTTATGTAAATACCCAATTAACACCTCCATGCCAGCCCCAGGCGTTCACTGTTATCCAGGTAGGTCCAAGCTGCATTAATTTTACACTTGATTGGCGTGTACACAGGTGCAATCAGAACTTCGAGAGATAGAGAGTAAAAAACAATGAAATGTGTGTAACGGGACCCAGGTCTTGGTTCGAGAGATAGAGAACTTCGAGAGATCGGAAGTAAATTTGCTTAGTTATATAGAGGAAAAAAACGGGACCGGAGGTTCACTTCGAGAGATCGAGAACTTCGAGAGATCGGAGTTCGAGCCATCGAGAGTCACCTGTATAATCAAAAGAGCCCCGCCCTAACACCAGAACCCCTGACTCAGGGGCCTTGAAATTCACAATTTTGGAAGGGGCAGTCTTGCTCTACATAACTATCTACTAAGTTAGTTTATCTAATACCCAGGAGCAGAGAAGAAGATTTTCAAAGAAATAATGCACTTTCACTATATGATCTATATAGCCCCACCCTAGCACCAGAACCCCTGACCCTGGGGCCATGAATTTCACAATTTTGGTAGAGGGCTCAATGCTTATTACAATCATGCCAATAAGGGTGAAACGTTTACTGAATTTTGTAAACGTTTAAACGAACAGCAGTAAACGAAACGTTACCGTTTAAACGGGAGAATATTTTGTGTTGAATTACTCATTAAACACTAATTTAATACTCTATTCTTTCACTATAATGTAAGTATGAGTTGTTATAACTATTTATTTGTTGGTTTTTATGACAAAAGAATATGAAGCGCATAAAACTCATTCACTTTTTACACTGCATTTATAGTTTGTTTGGCTACATACCGGACGTAGAAAAAGCATTGTCAAATTAAACTTGCAAAGATGGCTCTTTTAATCCTGAATTAAGTATACCGCGATTTGCTGACTGTGTTGAAACACTTTTCAAAGACTGGTGAAAACGTATTATATTTAAATTTAATCAACGTAAATCAAGTTTTATACTTGGAAAAATAAAATAAAATCATAATAAATCTTTAGTATTCGCTACTCGGAAATCAGAATCAAATATGTTAGACGCAATTGGGTTTTAGATATTTTAGTTTAATAACATGTTTCCGGTATTGATTTAAACAGAAAACAATTGTTTTCTTTGGTAAATATGAAATTAAACAACTTGTTTGTATTTATCTTTACTTCTGATAGACATTGATAATGACCTTCGTGTAAACGTTTACACAATTCGTAAACGTTTAGAGCATTTAATCGAAACGTCGCCGCTTACACGTGTAATCGTTTCGCCCTTACATGCCAACAGTTTGACTGCTTGATGTCCAGGAGTAAAGAAGAAGATTTTTAAAGATTGCATTAATTTTGGTGGTTTTAGCCCCACCCCTCAGGCCCCAGAGGGGCAGGGACCATGAAATTCACAATTTTTGTCCCCCTTCACCCATAGATGCTATTTGCCAAAATTGGTTGAAATTGGTTGAGCGGTTTCAGAGAAGAAGCTGAAAATGTTTAAATGTTAACGCATGACGGACGACGCACGCCGACGGACAAAAACGGAAAGCAATAGGTCACCTGAGTGACTCAGGTGACCTAAAAAATTATCACTGAAGGCAGCATGTCAGCAACAATTGATAGAAAATATTTAACATTGATAGTTGCTACCGGTTAACCAAACTGGTGTAACTTTCAACATTATGAAGGGCAAGTGCCAACATATTTACTTTATAAATCTATATTTTTACTGGAGATCTCTGTTTGTTGCTGTTTTTAGCTTTTTATCTTAGCTGCAGCTGTTTTCACATGTTTTCTTTGAGCATAAGCAACTCTTGAGTGACTTTAAATAACTTTTAATCTTGAATAATTAGCATGACACATCTGAGTCATTGCAAACTATTTGTAAATGCTTGTTTTTCAGTCAGACTACAGTTTACTATATGAAATTATTCTTTTTATTGATGAAATTCTTTTTTTTTCTCATAGATAAATTTAATTGCTCCACCTTTGTATGTTATGACCACATCCACATTGGAGAGAACAGAGGGTTTAGCCACACTTAACAAAGCCATCGCTAGCATTAAACTCACAATAGAGGAAGCAGGGGGAATCTTCAACATCCACAAACAGGTAGATAAAGATGGAACACAGACATGTTCAGATTTACAATCCTTTTGTAGTTAGCTTGTTACTGCCTCAGCTAGGAAAGCAAGAGGCCCATGGGCCACAACACAATAAATAGTGTGGCTATTTATTCCCCTTCAGTCAAGGATGCTTTGTGAAACTTTATGGCAAGTTTGGTTGGAATTGGTCTTGTAGTTTTACAATTGGCACACAACAGACACTAGATCTTTTTTTCAATCTGAAAAGGTTTACTTAAAATCTATGGCTCAGATGAGCTAAAAGTGCAACTCTAAGTGCTTCCTAAATTTGCTAGAAAAAAATGACATTCACCTTTAGTGTAAAGCAGTCACTTTATACAACAGATCAGGAGTCCATTTTAATTTTTCAGCCCCGCGTCGTGTCAGACATTGACGAGATCGAGCTAGAAAAACAGCTTAAACAGTTGGAGGAAAAAAATCGTGAGGTGGCGGGTGACTCTGATGAGGAAGATGACGTGGAGGGCATGGGGGAGATAGACGGAGAAGAACCAGAGGAGGGGGATGAAGGGGGAGAAGATTGAGGGGTGGATCTTACTGTAACTACATTTAGTGGTGGACAGATTTTGATTATATATGTACCTACAGCAAATTGACACCAGCTGTTTCCTCTGTGTAATTCACTGGCTTAAAAAGTGAAGTTTATGTAAAGTTTTCATTTTGTATGTCAGGGAAAAGACTTGGACAGACTTATACACAAATATCTTTCATGCTTCTTTGTTTTGCCAGTTTTAAAATATTAAATATCTTTGTATTTGATCAGTTTTCAAATACCAATAACACCTCTCTTATTTATCTAAATGAAACTCTCGTTTTTGTATAAATACATTTGTATCCTGCATGTACTTTTGTAAGGGCTTAAAAACGATTTTTCTAGAATACATTTATTTAAAATTCTGTATTTTATTATTCATAAAAATGACTCATCAGGAGAGCATGCAATAGAATATAAATTCTGTCCATGACTTCAATCAGGGGTGGGAAACATATGAGAATGTTATTTAACTATATCATTGTAAATTTAAAAAAATTCATGTTCATCTGTAAATCAAATCTGTGAAAATAAAACATAAAATCTCTGTACAGTGTTATGATTTTCATTGTCTTCTATATACAGTTAAATGGTTTCTTTATTTTAAAAGATCTTCAAAGTCATTTAATGAAATATTGACAACATCTGATTAGCATTCTAGCATTTTACTAATTCCTACAATTATGTAAATGAAGATATGTGTTCAGGATATATAAATAAATAACAGGTAATCTTTTGAGAACTCTTTTTACATATCAATAGGTATACACATTTATAAACCAAGTACCTGTGAGTTCAGGAAGTGAATGATAAATATCAAGGAAGAACCAACATTTTATGAGACGATTTCTAGAGTTTGAATCATAGTTCTGTTTTTTGCCTGTTAAACATGCGATTATATCTCAACAGCATTTTTATTTAGTGAAAGTTAAGTGATCTGGTTTAGAAAACAGAGAGAACCTGTTCTATAAATATTAATTAGGTTACATTCCATACTTCAATTACAGAATATCAGTATCTGTAAAAGACCTTTAATATATGTTCATTGTTTAGTTGTTGTTGTTTTTTTTTACAATGAAAAAGATGTTGCAAATGATACTGCTGGAAATATTTTCTAATTTTACACAATAAGAAACAACCTAGTTAGGCAAATATAGTTTCCCTTTTACTTGTCCGTGTAATGGCATAATGTCCAGTGTTCCTCTGTTTGTCCGACTGACTAAACTTGTCACATTTTCAAGAACCACTGAGCCAATTTTGACCAAAGTTTGCAGAAACCATCCTTGGATAAGGGGATTATAAATTTTTCAACACAAGGGCTAAGTCCTTTTCCAAGGGGAGGTTATCAAGAAAAGGCAAAAATAGGATGGGTCATTAAAAAATCTCATGAACCACTGTATCAGAAAATGTGAAACATGTGAAAGCTTTTTAAGAAAGTGTAAATTTCAAATTGTTCAAATCGTGCTCTCAGGGGTAGGGTGGGGCCACAAGAGAGGATCAAAGTTTTACATGTGTATATATAGGGGGGGGGGGATCTTCTCAAGAACCATATCAGAAAACACTTGATTTGAAAAAAAAACAAACCCAAGTTGTTTGGAATAATTTTTTTATTTTGAAATTATTGACCCTGGATTAGTGAGCTAAAATCGGAATCAAATTTTACATAATGCATGTATACATGTACTTCTCCATAACTGTAAGTCTTATATTGATATTGAGGCATCCCCATGATGTGTGGATTCAGAGCCCCCCTGGAGTAAGGTAGCTCATAATATAGGGTCAGAATTTTTAATGGGATATTACGAAATCCGGATAGGCTCATTTTTGACAAGACAAAAAAACATTTAACTTGTTATAACAAGATAATTATCTCATAATAACGAGTTAGTATCTCGTTATAACGAGTTAGTATTTCGTTATAACGAGTAAGTATCTCGTTATAACGATATACTAACTCGTTATAACGAAATACTAACTCGTTATTACGAGATAATTATCTCGTTATAATGAGTTATAGTTATCTCGTTATAACGAGTAGGTTATCTCGTAATAACGAGTTGGTTATCTCGTTATAACGAGATTAATAGAATCATTCGTTACTACGAGTGTGGGATAGTGACATTCCACCGAGGGGACAAGATTCACGGTCTAGGACGAGGTTTTGCCGAGTCCTAGACAGTGAATCTTGGCCCCAAGGTGGAATTTCACTATCCCACACGAGTATGTAATGAATGATTATTTTTCTCGCATTATTTTATCCAAAGTAACAGCATGCCATCACCATTGAAAAATTTATATTTTTAATTTAGCATCCAATTAAAAATCTGAATACACCATCAAAGAAATCGTACCTGAAAATGGTTTACACATCATGTGTAAACTCAGAAAATGAATTTCAGTCAACGTAAATCATTCTGAATTAAATAAACTGGATTTAAAAACAAGAGGCCCAAGGGTCTTAACGGTCACCTGAGTATGATACAACAATTTAGAGGATGCATAGAGTATAAAATGAACTGAAAGGTGAAGCTTTGTTGCCTAAAAGCAAGAAAAATAGGGTGATCATTATCAACAAAATAATAGGTCGTTATATTCATTAACAGTTCATAAATTAGGTTCTAATCTGTTCCCCATTTATCACTATCACCATACAGTATATTTACAAATTATCACTGTTTCTGTACTATTTTTAGACCTTGCTGAAATCTCTTGGTCTTTGAGGAACATTTAATAAGACATGTTATTTTTGTCTCATTTTTATTTATCTACTACTTACAAGTCTATCTGATTATTAAAACTATGAATGTACTTTCTGTATTATACAATAAAAGTTTTTGCATAATTCTCTTATTCTATTTACCTTTCAAGTACATTATTTACAGTGATAAATTATCAAAAGTAAATGGGAAAGGGGAATAACTCCTCTCAGTAGAATACAAACTAATAGGGCCCTGGCCAGGACCAGAACACTTGACCAAATGGTCCAGATGTTCAAAAATCTGGTAAAAATTCCCTTCCTTATAAAAACTTGTACTCTGTTTGCCTCAGATATGCCCAGGTGCGAAGAAGATTTTTAAAGAAATAATGCATTTAAATACTACAGATTCACTATATTATCAATAGACCCCCCCCCCCCCGGAAATACCAGAGCTTCTGACTCTGGGACCATAAGTTTGCTCATCCAAACTAATCACTTTGTTTATCTGCTTAACACTAAGAAGCAAACAGGATTATTTGATAGAATTAATGCATTTTCACGCATATTTAATGCATTATCAAGAGCCCCACCCTCACACCAGCACATCTGAGGCAGGGGTCATGAAATTCACTACTCTGGAAGAAGCACTCTTGCTCATCATAACTATACACTTAGCTTCTTTGCTTTTTTAACCAGAAGCGGAATAAAAAGAATATTTTCAAAGAAATTTTGCTTTTTCACTTTATAATCAATAGAAGCCCCCCCCCCCCCTCCCCTTCTCACCAGAACCCTTAAACCTGGGGTCATAAAATTCACAATTTTGGAAGAGGCATCCTTTCGTATCATAACAATGTACTTGGTTTGTTTAAACAATACCCAGGGGCAGAGAAGAAGATTTTCAAAGAAATAATTTACCTTCACTATAGGATCTATATAGCCCCGCCCTAGCACCAGAACTTCTGTCCACAGGGCCATGAATTTCACAATTTTGGAAGAGGCATCCTTGCTTATCATAACAATATACTTAGTTTGTTTAAATAATATCCAGGTGCAGAGAAAAAGATTTTTAAAGAATTAAAACATTTTCACTTTATAATCAATAGAGCTTAGCCCAAACACCAGAACCCCTGATCCAGGGGCCACGAATTTCACAATTTTGGAAGAGACATCCTTGCTTATCATAACTATGTATTTAATTTGTTTCAATAATACCCAGGAGTAGAGAAGAAGATTTTCAAAGAATTAATGCATTTTCACAATATAATCAATAGAGGTCCGCCCTAACACCAGAACCCCTGCCCCTGGGGCCATGAAATTCACAATTTTGAAAGAGGCACTCTTGCTCATCCTAACTATGTACTTGGTTAGTTTATTTAATACCCAGGAGCAGAGAAGAAGATTTTCAAAGAATTAATGCATTTTCACTATATAATCAATAGAGTCCCGCCCTAACACCAGAACCCCTGACCCAGGGGCCATGAAATTCACAATTTTGGAAGAGGCACTCTTGCTCATCCTAACTATGTACTTGGTTAGTTTATTTAATACCCAGGAGCAGAGAAGAAGATTTTCAAAGAACTAATGCATTTTCACTATATATATATAATCAATAAAGTCCCTCCCTAACACCAGAACCCCTGACCCTGGGGCCATGAATTTCACAATTTTGGAAGAGGCACTCTTACTCATCATAACTATATACTTAGTTAGTTTATTTAAAACCCGGAGCAGAGAAGAAGATTTTCAAAGAAATAATGCACTTTCACTATATGATCTATATAGCCCCGCCCTAGCACCAGAACCCCTGACCCTGGGGCCATGAATTTCACAATTTTGGTAGAGGGCTCAATGCTTATTACAATCATGCCAACAGTTTGACTGCTTGATGTCCAGGAGTAAAGAAGAAGATTTTTAAAGATTGCATTAATTTTGGTGGTTTTAGCCCCACCCCTCAGGCCCCAGGGGGGCAGGGACCATGAAATTTTTGTTTCCCTTTACCCATAGATGCTATATGCCAAATTTGGTTAAAATTGGTTGAGCGGTTTCAGAGAAGAAGCTAAAAATGTTCAAATGTTAACGCACATCGCACGACGACGGACAAAAACGGATAGCAATAGGTCACCTGAGTGACTCGGGTGACCTAAAAAAACGATAGCGTAACATTTCAGAAGAATCCTTCCGCGACCTACAAATAGTGCCATTTAGAAAGTGAAAATACGACAATCTTTTGAACGAAAATAAATTTGATTAAATAAATAAAACAACAACATTTTAAGAATATGTGATTTTTTTAAGACATTGTTACAAGTATTATATAAGAAGGAATGTTTACGTTAACGTTCGCACCGTAGTAATACACAGTGTAAGACAGAAAAATCTGACATTGCTGTCTTACACTGGACAGGTCTATCTAACACTGGTAATAATGCGAAAAAATTATCTCGTTATAACGAGTTAGTTATCTCGTTAAAACGAGTCAGTTATCTCGTTATAACGAGTTAGTTATCTCATTATAACGTTATAACGAGATAAAAATTGATGTGAAGAGTTGATATATCTAAGTAAAGAATAGATCATTATTTATAGGAAGCGAGTCGATCAAATTTGATTGAAGAGTGAGAGATAAAGATTTTATGGATCAACAGCAGTTTTTTGTGTTAGGCCTTTGATTAGTATTGTTTATTGAAAAGACCGAAGACAAATATACGGAAACTTATGACCACCTCATGTTGTTGTGTTATACCTTAAAATTGCAAAATAGAATTAGTGTCATCTTCAAATGGAATGTATATAACGTCAAAATTTTGTCAACTTGTACAAAGAGATCAGAAAAAATTATATACTCTGGCTGATTTAACTGCCCTGTTCAAGCTTTCTTGACTTTGTTAAAATTATAATTTTTGCGCAATATTTGTCGCAATAAAAAATGCATAGAAATAATCCCATTATTTTATATATTCCGAATCAATAATGTCGATCTGATACCATTTGTTAGGCTTTAACGTCCATATTTTGATAATTCCTTGCCTGTAACAAGGAATATCAGTTCAATTTTATCGTCTTAAAGGGGAAGATCAAAATTCAATGTCTGACAAAAAACTAAATTCACGTTGTTTTTATCATCAATCCCTCCTTCCCCTCAATAATAAATATGATGAATTTCAAGAACTAATACTGTACTTATCACTTAATAATTTATATATTTCTTTTGTTTATTAAAAGAAAGAAACATTTTAATTTACCAATTTGGCATGAAATCTCATGTACAATATGTATTTTTTGCGTTATTATCAATGTGATAGAATAAAAAAAACTTTTGGGGCTCTTTATTCTACGGAAGCCACAATAAAAAGGTGAAGGTCAGTAAGCTGAAATGTAGCAAAAATATGAACAGTGATCCATGACAGAATATTAGATAAAATATCAATATCAGCAGATCAGATCTAACGTCTTATTACTAAGAAGGATTTAATATCATTTTTGCTTTATCATTCCTAATATAATCATCGTGGACAATCTACATAAGCTTAGTCACAAAGTTCAAGGGGGGGGGGGGTTAAACCAAGTAAAATACCTGACAAGCAAAAAGAAAACAAAAGAGATTTGATATTCCAACTACGAGTATTCGCCATTATTTTCGGGAGATATTTACTCAGGTAAAAAAAATCTGGAGCAAGGGGCACAAAGATACTCTTGACCGCCCCCTTTTCAAAAGTGGTGGTGGGGACATAAAAATTTTTGCGATTAAACGCAATAGTATTGCGATAAAACGCAATACTTTTGCGATTAAACGCAATAGTATTGCGATTAAACGCAATGATTTTTGCGATAAAACGCAATAATCTTTGCGTTTAAACGCAATAATCCTTCCTTATAAGGATTTGTTTTGCATTTAAACACAATGATACTGTAGTTTCAAAATCAAACATGAATTAGTCAAAGCTTATAATTACATGTACATGTACTAGGATCCGACACTTCAACTTTAAGAAGATCCGATTTGCTCTGTGTCTTTTTGCAAATGTTTCCAGTTTTTGAAAATTGTAGTAAAACAATGACATCCTAACAACCTGAATGTCTTAAATGTATTAGAATCCAAAACTCTTAATGAAGTCTCTGATCAATTGCTTACGTATATCACAACTTATAGAGAATGTTTCAGTGATATTAATAGCACTTGTCAATTTGATACATGTAATACACATCGATCATTATGTTTTCATTTGATTTTGATTTTGATCTCATATAAATCCATCACATATGTTCTTGTGTTTACTGTATGCAACCATAGGAAGGGTTATGAATGTACATTTAAGTCTAAATACTTCATCATGTTGTACGTAATTCCAACATTTCCTCAGTCCTTTCCAAAAATCCCATTATACATGTGTTAAACTTGTGTCCGCAACGTAGAGGACAGTTTTTTAATAGAGCAACTGACCAAAACTTCATTAAGAATGTAGAGAATAATAAGCTTAAGACATGTCTCGTTCTTAGGTTGCCTTCGTTTTTACAACCCGACATTTTTTCTCCTCTATAAATTCTTATTAGTGATTTAGCCTTTCAGAGAGCGTTTGCTCGGAGAAATCTGATTCTATAAAGCTAAACAATACACAATTTCCTCATAAGTAAAAAGAGAAAGAAATAAAAGATATAAGTATGCGTGGGTCCATTGTACTCTGCAAGGTTTGATACAAATGACTGCCTTTAAACACAAAGATTATTGCCTTTGAACTCAAAGATTATTGCGTTTAAACGCAAAGATTATTGCGTTTAATCGCAAAGTTATTGCGTTTAATCGCAAATAGATATAATCTATATTGTATCCTGAAATCTATATTGTATTTGCTGCAGTATAATGTTTAGAAAACTCTTCATATCAGTCAAATGATGCAAAATAATAGAATAATCTGAAATGTTCATCAAGAAATATCAAATTTGCATCCTTATGTATTGTTGCCAGATAATGTTAACGTGTTCATGTATTTCTAGCACGAATTGCGTGGAGGGAAACGAGAAACAGTTAAGCAGGGATATCACTTTGTTTTGTCGTATGTTAGTATAGGACTAGTTTTATCTTAATCGCTGTAGCAAGCTAATTATGTCAACTTATCTTGCTATTGACGCTTCAAAATCCACAGCCCGATGGTCACTATTCCGCACTCCCAAATGTGGGGTTATACGCGGTGTATATACTTCCGAATAATTTACCTGTTCCATTAAATTCACGGTCTCGTTGAAGTCTCAATGAAGTGTCGCCACAGCTACTGAGGACTTCTTGGGTTTTACAGTTTGCTAAACATCGAAAAATAAAATGCTTTGTTCAAAAGTTATGAGCAATGCTAAGTTGCAGATAGATAGATCAATTCCAACCATGTCATCTTCACTTAAAATGTGGAATTTCTTTGAGTGCATTGAGAAAGTGACCACAAAATAAAGTATTTCTAATTCCAACTTGACTAACATGATACGTGTAATACAGGCACGTAGTATCGGGGGGGGGGTGGGGGGGTGGGGGGGTGGAGGGGGGTTTGCCCCCTCCTTTTCCCAAACATTACTTTTTACTACTCAAAATATTCATTGAATGGCTGGTTCCCCCCCCCCCCCCTTTTTGTTGTAGTATAGTCAAATCAGGGTAATGTGTGAATAAAATTTGGTTATGAAAAAAGTTGCACATACTACACTTATAGACATGTCAGATTTCACCAAGGACTATAAGTCAAACAAACACAAAACTGGGATTAGGGTGGGGCTGAAATCAGGACCAAATTTTTACGTAATTTAATTATATAGGCAAAAATAAACCCTATTCTTCCCAAAAACATTAAGGTCATATTAGTCAAATAATATGAAAGCCCATTTTTGGATGCATTTAAGTTCGGTCTAATCATGACCATTTGGGCCAAGGTTGGGTTCCAAATACGGTCAAAATATTACATGGGAAGAATGAGGGAAAAAACAACATATAAAAACCTTCAAATGTCTGAAGAAAAACAGACCCAAGGTGACTCGGGTGTGCGTTCTGACCCATGGCCCATTTTAAAAAAAAACTTTTATTTTATTGTGTTTTCTTAGTATGAACTTGATGTTCTGTGTCACTAGTATACAAAGATTTCCTGGATTTAATAGTATAATACACTTAGTATCGGGGGGGGGGGGGGTCCCATTTTTTTGCAAACATAATATTTTACAATTAATTCAGCTTGCAAATATGTATTGATAGGCCTCCCCCCACTTCTTCTTTTGCAGCACAGTGAAAGTTTCCGATGGCGGTGTATTTTCTTGAAAAAGTTGTAACAAATCCCCCCTCCCCTGCACTTTCATATCTTTACCGGTCAAAGATTTTTCAGGTAAGTTATCAATAACTTCAACCCCCCCACCACACACACACACACACACACACACACACTTACAAGAGCTATTCTACGTGCCTTTTTATAGTATCTTGTTTATTTATACATATATTAATATGCATAAAGGATGTTGTTGTTGAATGGATTCTGGAAAATGTATATTATATCTCCACATCGTTTCCGTATGTTCATTCAGTCTCTCGACGTTCTTAGCGCTTTCCGTCACCACATCAATGCTGAAATATAGAAAAGTCAAACATGCTTAATCCTTTTTATAGCCAAGGCCATTTGCTCTTAACAGGTGCACGGGAATGACTAATGTATTCTTTCACTGGACCGAATACTGAAGTTGACAAGATCGGTCCGAGTTTAGGCATGAAAATTTCAAATACTCTGTATAAGACGATATTAATTATATTTACCGATTTCTAAAACAAACGTTATCAAATCCATGTTTTTCCTCGTATGCTAAATACAAACTGAAACAGGAAGTATTTCCGAACTTCCCTATGCTTTTCAATACTATCAATAGCGTTCCTTCCTTTAATTTGACAAATGACCAAATTAGTTAATATATGCAAGTTAAATAAATATGGAGGGTAGGCCGAAAGCCGCTTGGTCTATGGAGAACTACACCATCCATGATGTGGTGTATAAGATGGGTCTCCCGCGCACAGTGCGGGTTACTGAGGGGGTATACAGCCAAAATGAGCAGGAGAGTTTATCCACAGGAGACATTGTGCGTTTAGACGCCATCAGTGAAATCAAACGCATAGTGACGCGAGCAAACTTAATGGACGAAGAGGTCACAGACCTACAGATTCCTCTTAATTTCCAGGGTGAAGTTTATGTCTACACTGGAAAAGAAACCGTGTACAAATCAGTGCAAGAACTCATCCAGCTTTTTCCGGGATATGTGCATGTGGACTCTCCAATAAAAGCTGTATCACTGGAAAATAACAATGAAGAGGAGGTGGATCTGGGCTGGGGCGCCTGCCTTAAGCTCGACAGAGTGGTCAGCGGACAAGGGCTACACTGTACTTACTGCGAACGAAAAATCTGCTTGCGTCCTTTTCAAAGGGGAAGGTTTTCCCGGATTCCAAAAAACGATATAATGTATCTTAAGGATGTGATAAGAAATTTCTCATTACCAGTGAATGTGAGATTCATGGACAAGCTTCCTGAACTAAACGCAGTGTTAGATACAAATAAAGTGAGTCATTTTTCTCTGGAACGTGTGGAGTCGTTGGTGGCCATTGTGGGATCTGTTCTTAATTCTGATGGATCTAAAGTATCGGCAAACCAATTAATGATAGCACTGACCCAGGCTACTGACGTAGAAGTCCAGGTCAGTTTGACGGAAGAAAAGAAGTCAATGTTAGACAGTCCAAAAAATAGTCCCCAGACGGCCAAGAAGCGACCACCACCCGTCCCCAAGAGATCCAGCAGCATACCGAGTTCTTTTGGGAAAAGTCTCCCCCTACAGTCAACCCTTTATCAACAAGACACTTCTACAATGACAGAGAAGGCTAAAGTTGCATCAGTTACTCCTCAACCCCCAAATGGCGGATTTAAGTCCATGTTAACAAATATCTTAAGACAAAAACCTCCTAGTCTTCCCCCGAGGAAAATGTCAAATCCAGAAACCTTCACACACACCAGAAGGGGCTCAGTCGACACGGGCCCCGAGAATAGACTGTGTGCGGTGCCGCCCCTTCCATCACGTAATAGATCCAGACCGCCAAGTGACGATACACACGACCTTGCACCTGCTAGTACCTCATTGTCGAGGTCTCCAGACGTCGCCAAGAAACTGGGTACGTGGTATTTAGAACCTTCCACCTCTGCCAAACAATTTGGTTTTTTATTTTGGTTGTGTACGAGTATTACTGAGTGCTTGTTTTACACTAAAATTTCTCAATGCAGATATTGAAAAAATAGAATAAGTTTAAAAAACGTCCTTTTAAGATTACATTTTAATCTGAAAAAAAAATTCTTAAAAAGATTTAAAGTGTACCTAAGAAATGTAATGCTTTAGGGAAATCTTTTCATTTGATAAGTTGTTATAAGCCATTTGTTATACATGTAGTTTCATAAAAAAAAGTTGAAACGTGTATACAAGCAAAATTATTTACTTTACATTATCAAATGAAATGTTGTCAGAGATCATCCCATCATCAAAATGAGGTCAAGCATACTAGTATACGAAAATTTTTGTGCGTTTTTTTGGAATAACTCTTTGTTTCATTCCATATTCCTCTGGTTTGAAAAATGAGTATGATGTCAAGAATAGTTACAATCATTTATCTGATTAAAAATTTCCAGCGTCTGTCTAGTAATGACTTACTAGTATGTCGGCGTAGCTTTAATTAGTAACAGAATGTAACATGCCATAAAACATAACTTATGGCGACGAGTCTTGATAAAAAGGTAAAACTAGAATAGTTTAAAATTCATGAGCAAGATTCTGGATTTCCGTTGATCTGATCCTCATCTTTCTGATTTGAATAGGTGATATCACATTTCAAATCAAATAAGTGATATCACCTATTCAAATAGGTGATATCACCAATTCAAAAGTTGAATAGGTGATATCATCAATTCAGAAAGGTAATATCACCAATTCGAATAGGTGATATCACCTATTCGAAATAGGTGATATCACTTAATGTGAGTAAATCCAAAACGCCCCCTCATAAGTTTTTAATCCGCAATAATATTAAGTGTTCAAGGTCAACTGTTTCATGGGTTTGCTATTGATGTATTATAGATAAGGATCGATAATATTTACAATATTTTATGCACTGTGTATAATTTAGCGAAAGGTATCAATATTGCAGGAAAAAAAATCATAACCCGCTAACACGTGTCTTTAACTGCAACCATTCCATAAAACACATCAAAAAGCATGTTATTGTTTAAATAATAGCAATGAGGTTTATATGTTGTCAAGATTCAAGTTTATTAAAAAATACACGTGAGATCTTTAGAGCCATGATGGTAGCATACCAGTGTACACAGATTAAAAGGGAAATACTCAGAGTAAACTCTCATTAACTGTACTAGGCTTTATAACGTGATATAAAGTGAGGCGATACAGGTGAGCAATTTGAATCATGAAACTTTTATTTCTAGAAACCGTGACTTTGAACAAATTGCCACCGAACATTGGTAGGGAGCTGTTCAACAACTCCTCGATAAATGGCGACAGGATCTCCAAATCGAGCACTCCAACTAGACCACTGTCCACTACCTGTAAGATTCAAATAACTACTCATATTATCACGACGCAGTAATTTAAATTAGGTAGGTTTATTTGATATGTCACTGTTATCTGTTACAGCCAAGACAGACTCGAGTCATGACTCGGAAAGTTCTGAAGGGCCAAATGAGGCAGATTACATATCCATGGAGGACGCAAAGGAAATAAAAAAACAGATCAAGCCGCCCTCCCACCGAACCCCACCAGTCCCTCCTCCCCGTGATCGAGGGAGCAGCTCGTCTCAGAAACTCTTTCCTCCCGATAGCTTACCAGTTACAAACTCAGACTACACAGTATCAGCTTCCCAGCAAGATCACCCTGGATATACAGATCAGAAAGTCCCACCTGATGCATTCCCCCGAGGTAGATTAGTTTCACCCCAAAGGGATCGGCGTGCTGCATTCACTTCTCCGAGGTCTTCAGTTAAAAGAGGACTTGTGCCAGATCCCCAAGCTACTGAGGGTAAGGCATCTCGGTGTAAAATAAATCACGAGACTAATATCTTTTGTATCACTTCATTTTAATACCAAAATTATCGCTTTTATGACTGAGAAGTGATAAAACGTGATATTGTGTTGATTTTATAATAAATCTAACATACTTAGGAAACATGAAGATAACGAACAATATTCAATCTCGAAAGTCCAATGAAACAATACAAATTTGGAGAAGAGAAAACAAGGACCTCAAAATTTAGAGTTGGAATCAGGTGCTATGGAGGAGTGAGCATCCCCTGCCGACCGGTCACACGACTCACACCCGCCGTGTGCTCCTTGTCATGATCGAAAAAAAACCCTGGAAGAATCCGTAGACAGTTCAGTGTATAAATAATGGCCTAATAATTAATATAAAAAACGTCAGTCAGCATTTGAATCAATGATAGGTTGAATGTGCTGGCAAGGTTATTGTATCGACCATAAAACTTGCGAAATGATGACTTCAAACGAGACTGTTGATATCCTTGTTTCATCAACTTGATTGTCAATAGCTTGCCTCGTTTTAGAAATTGTTTATACGTAGAGCATGCTCTTACATATCGAATCAACTGAGAGACATAAACCCCATACATGCAGGTGATAAGGGTATATTGCTACATAAATAAGGGAAGCTGGCGATTGTAGCTTTCTGGCTGAGAAAATTCAGACAAGTAAAACATAGAGCTACAAATCTAAGCATTGTAAAAGCTTTCGATTTTTGTCGCTCGCTTCGGACATTATTTCTTTTATGTTCTCCCGCTTAAAATATGGTATCTGTTAATCAACATATATTTTACTCCTATTTCTGAATGATACTTTATTTACCTTTAGGGTGCGTTATTTAAGCGTGACTCCACCGTATGGACGTCGGAATGCGAATTCTTAAAGCTGACATTCGAAGGCCATGTAGGGCTGGAAACCGTAGGTAACCGTTGAAAGGTAAATAAAGTATCAGAAATACAAATAAAATATGGTTAATCAAATAATATCATCCTTTAAGCGGGGAAACAAATACAAGAAATAATACTCGAAGCGAGTGACAAAAAGCGTCGCCTTAAATCGAGGGTTTTTACAATGCTTGGATCTGTAGCTCTCTGCTTTATCTGTCGAATCTTCTCAACCAAAGAGCTACCGTTCTGCTGCTATAACAAACACTGACAAAATGTGTATGTTTAAATGGAACTGGTCGCAATTCTGAAAAAAAAAAATTAAATGTTGATTGCACAACTGGACTTTTTGATTATAGTTTTTGTGAAGTTTGTCTACTGCGAGAACACATTGGAAGTCAATGAAAATTATTCAATCTCCGATAACCCTTACGTCAGATGTGCAGTCAAAGTCATATACACTCTGTATATTGAAGGTCAGAGAAAAAAATTGAGGAAAAGCCCATCTAGTTTGTTCTGTTTCAGATAAGGGGTGATGACTAAATATCTAGTATGATCCGTTTAAGACATTGGGTTGGTGATTAGACATCTAGTTTGATCTGTTTCAAATATGGGGAAGATGATTAGACATCTATAATTTGCTCTTTTTCAGATATAGGGGTGGAAAAATAGACATTTAGTATGATCTTTTTTCAGATATGGGGTTATGACTAGACATATAGTTTGTTCTGTTTCAGACATGGGGGTGGTGACTAGACATCTATAGTTTGTTATGTTTCAGATATGAGGGTTGTGACACGACATCTAGTTTGATTTGTTTTAGATATGGGGTTGGTGACTAGACATGTAGCTTGCACTGTTGCAGACATGGGGGGATTAGTGACTAGACTTCTATAGTTTGATCTGTTTCAGATATGGAGGTGGTGACTAGACGCTTATTTTGATCTGTTTCAGATATAGGGATGGTGACTAGACATCTATAGTTTGCTCTGATTAAGATATGGGGATGGTGACTAGACGCTTATTTTGATCTGTTTAAGATATGGGGATGGTGACTAGACGCTTATTTTGATCTGTTTAAGATATGGGGATGGTGACTAGACGCTTATTTTGATATGTTTCAGATATAGGGATGGTGACTAGACATCTATAGTTTGCTCTGTTTCAGATATGGGGATGGTGACTAGACATTTATAGTTTGCTCTGTTTAAGATATGGGGATGGTGACTAGACGCTTATTTTGATCTGTTTAAGATATGGGGATGGTGACTAGACGCTTATTTTGATCTGTTTAAGATATGGGGATGGTGACTAGACGCTTATTTTGATCTGTTTCAGATATAGGGATGGTGACTAGACATCTACTTCGATCTATTTTAAATATGGGGTGGTAACTACGAGGGGTGATCAAAAAGTTCGCGAACTATCTCTATATTTACAAAACCACAATTCAGATCAGAATGAAATTTGGCACACAAATAGTCATACACATGTTCTATAAATAACATATGTTAAATAATGTTTTGCTCCGTGTTTGTGACGTCACAATGTGAAAATAACGTCAATATGTAGGTCACTTGTGACAAAAAATGGTTGACTCAGTCGTACTCGAGCAACGAACGGCTGTAAAGTTTAACGTATATCTTGGAAATTCCTTTGCAGTAGAATATGATAATTTGTACAAGGTTTATGAAGACAAAAGACTTACCAGAAGTTCAATCATTAATTGGATTGATTGTTTAAGTAAAGACAGCGAGACGGTTAAAAATGATGTTTGTTCTGTTGCCCAGCGAAAGCAAGCTGGGCAAAAGATGTGTCCTTAGTTGAGCAATTTTTTATGAAACATCGTCAAGTAACAATTAGAACAAGATGTGTTTGTGAAACACTGATGCCCCCATATGGCAGCTTATGGCGAAGGTTAAAGTTTCTTCAAATGCAAGTCAAAATCCAGGCCAAAAGATAAAAAATGTTGATACCCAAAGAAAGGTCTTGTCTTGAGGAATACACCTGTGAAATTTGAAAGACCTAGATACAACTGTTCAAAAGTTATGGCGAAGGTTAAAGTTTTTTAAATAAAAGTCAAACGTCAAGGTCAAGGTCAAAGTGGTTGGTATCCAAAGGAAGATCTTGTCACAAGGATTACATATGTGAAGTATGAAAGCCCTAGCACCAACCATTCAAAGGTTATGACCAAGGTTAAAGTTTTTCAAAAGTAGGTCAAACTCCTAGGTCAAGGTCAAAGGGTCAAAGTGGTTGGTATCCAAAGGAAGGTCTTGTCACAAGGATTACATATCTGAAGTATGAAAGCCCTAGCATCAACCATTCAAAAGTTATGGCCAAGGTTAAAGTTTTTCAAAAGTAGGTCAAACTCCTAGGTCAAGGTCAAAAGGTCAAAGTGGTGGTTGGTATCCAAAGGAAGGTCTTGTTGCAAGGATTACATATGTGAAGTATGAAAGCCCTAGCTCCAACCATTCAAAAGTTATGGCCAAGGTTAAAGTTTTTCAAAAGTAGGTCAAACTCCTAGGTCAAGGTCAAAGGGTCAAAGTGGTTGATATCCAGAGAAAGGTCTTGTCACAAGGAATACACATGTGAAGTTTGAAACCCTAAGCACCAACTGTTCAAAAGTTATGGCCAAGGTTAAAGTTTTTCATAAGTAGGTCAAACTCCAAGGTCAAGGTCAAAAGGTCAAAGTTGTTGGTATCCATAAGAAGGCCTTGTCACAAAGAATACACATGTGAAGTTTGAAACCCCAAGCACCAACTGTTCAGAAGTTATGGCCAAGGTTAAAGTCTCATAAAATTTTGCAAAAGTGGGTCAAACTCCAAGGTCAAGGTCAAAAGGTCGAATATGATGGTACCCAAAGAAAGGTCTTGTCACAAGGAATACACATGTGAAATATGAAAGTCATAGCTCCAACCAATCAAAAGTTATGGGCAAGGTTAAAGTTGACAACAGACAGACAGACAAACAGACAAACATACAGACAGGACAAAAACAATATACTCCCGGGATCTTTCGATCCGGGGGCATAAAAATGGTTGTATATCTTAACAATAACATAATTATTAATTATCTAAAATATCGTTTACTGTAGACTTTAAACATATGAGATATGATAAAAAGAAGGCGCCCATACTTTATTCACATTGGAAAAACGACTCTCCCGAGACAGAGGACTCGGGTTGTGATGGGTCACCATACTAATTGTGGGAAGGGATATCCTTATCCACCCATCCTATTGCCGAGATTTGGCCATTTCTGACAGATGGACTGTTTTTGTTATAAAAAATAACTTGCATGGTAAGAAATATAAGACTCGGAAAGATCGTTTTGCTTCTCTGAACAGACTGCTTCGGAGCATGTCACGTGACTGCCTGGATCACGTGATTCGCGCTAGGGCAGAACAATAGCAGATGTGCATTAAAATCGGAGAGGACTACTTTAAAAAATAATAAACACTGAAACTTCATTCTATTTCTTTTAAAGAAGTTATTCAATTAGTTCGCGAACTTTTTGATCACCCCTCGTATACATTTAGTTTGATCTGTTTCAGATATGGGGGTTGATGACTAGACATCTATTTTTCTCCGTTTCAGATATATCTATAGGGGTGGTGACTAGACAGCTATTGTTTGATCTGTTTTAGATATGGGGTTGGTGACTAGACATCTAGTTTGATTTGTTTCAGATACATGTATAGGAGTAGTGACTAGACATCTATAGTTTGCTCTGTTTCAGATATGGGGTTGGTGACTAGACATCTATAGTTTGATCTGTTTCATATATATGTATAAGGGTGGTGACTAGACAACTATAGTTTGCTCTGTTTCAGATATGGGGGTGGTGACTAGACATCTAGTTTGATTTGTTTCAGATATATGTATAAGGGTGGTGACTAGACATCTATAGTTTGCTCTGTTTCAGATATGGGGGTGGTGACTAGACATCTATAGTTTGCTCTGTTTCAGATATGGGGGTGGTGACTAGACATCCACTTGCTGTGTTTTCTCCATCTGCATCACAGAACCTTGACGAGTACTACTCCAGCATCCCAAAGGTTGTGCATTACTTATCTTTATCGTTTAAAGCTCTATTTACTAATGAATGTAGTTGGTTAACAAATAAATATTTATTTTCTTAGAATTATCGACAAAGCCTACTCCTTGTTCACAAGGAGCTTGTAAGTCGACAGTATGAAAGCCCCCAGAAACCGACAGGTGCGGTGTCGCCCATCTCCCGCTTCCCCTCTCCACCCGTACCTAACTTCTCCAATCTGTCGGTGGCGGAGACAGTCCATTGTTTCCGGGATTGTCGCCTTAATGATCTAGCTGATCTGTGTGAAAAAGAGGGATTGGACGGGTGCTTTATTGATAAACTGACTAACGCTGATCTAAGTAGGGATCCGTTCAACTTGTCCGTCCTTCACCGAATGAAGGTAGAACAGATCAAACAAGGCTGGAGGCCATTTTACAACTGAGCGAGCAAAAATTGGAGAAAGAACTTTTCCAGAATTTGAATGCGAAGAACTGGATGTCTAGCTCTGTCAAAGTGAGATTCGTTGGAAAATGGAGACTTTGTTTCTGATGAGCGTTTAGGTTTTTTTTTTTTTTTTATCAGTGATACAGGCACGTCAGTTTCCGGGAAGAAAGGTTTTATAAGCAATGGGTATGAGATTTATCTTTTTAAACAGGAATTGAGCGAGTGATAAAGATCTTATAAAAAGTTTGAAAGTGGGGTTGTTCTAAAGAGTGAAAATACAGAAAAGATGAATTTTATGTGTAAATGCCCTGCTTATTTTCTGTCCAAGATGGCGCAATGGAGTGCGGTATATCTGCTAGGGTCATATCAATGCATGATCTCCAAAGAGCGGGTGATAAAGCTACAGAGCGTGGACTGCAGGGATATTACTATGGATCATTTCAAATATTCAAGGAGAATTATTTTGAATTTCCTGATAAAAGAAATGTGTATTTGGAGGAAATTTCATTGACAATTTCGTACTTTGAAACCTTGGATAACCTGAAACCCATGACTCTCTGAATGGTAACACTTCATTCAAATCCATTTACAAGGTAACTGACTATATTGTCACTTGTCCATGTAATATCTTGTCACATGGCTATTAACTTGACGACTGTATTCACTGTCACGTGCCCAATAACTAACTGTCTTGTCACAAGTCGTATTGCTACTATTATCACGTGTTATTTTTCAATGACTTACCAACTGCATCGTCAGGTGTCCATAATTTCACTGACAGTCAATAACTGACTGTGTTGTCACATGTCCATTAACTTACCGACTGTACTGTTACGTGTCATTACTATAGGAACTGCATGCGTTGTCACATTTCCATTAAATAGAAAATGCTGATCGATCTATTGTCAATGTCAAGTAATTAAATGTCTATAGCTAGGAATTGGCAAAAGAAACTATTGTTACTTTGTCAATTGTTGCAGGTGTCTGCTTGAACTGTTGTGAATAGGTAAAAAGTAACTTGATGACACGCTTGCCATTAACATACTTTGCCTGATTTTACGCATTCACTATATCAAAAAGCTTTTGTATAAATAGTATGTAAAATCAAACAGAGTATGAATGATAAAACCACGCCCTCCGGGTCCTTCGGATGAGACCTTAAAAACCGAGGCCCCGTGTCACGGCAGGCGTTGGCACGATAAAGATCCCTCACTGCTCAATGGCCCTGAGTGCCGAGTAAAGGTCAAAATTTGAAGCCCTTCACCGGTATATGGTGACGTCTCTATATGAGTGAAAAATTCTCGAATGGGACGTAAAACAATATACAATCAATCAATCAACCACGCCCTCCAGCACGATAGAACTAAGCAACAGTCAACATTACTAGACGGGTGATATTAATATTGACTGCGTGGAATCTATGCACGTGCTTCACTTTATTTTATTTGTATAAAAATAATTAGTATAAAATAAATACTGCACAAAGTTCAGGGTAACAGTGAAAATTTTCACCCCAAGCAATTGTCAACCTCGTAGTTTTATTTAGATGGAGTGATCTGCCCTTAGAAGAAAAATAGAATAAACTATAAAATCTACTGTTAATGACACAATTTGTAATGAATAAAAGTATTCTTAACGTTATACCAGACCAAGATTAAGTAATTGAATTTATTATTTCCATTAACTTTCCCAATGTAAGTAAACAAAAGTGATTTCTGTTTACAATAGTTCATCGTCTTTGAACATTTTTCCTGGAGAAATAAGGTAGGCACCCTATGTTGAAAATGAACTAGATACACTAAATATGAGCAGCTTTTTATGATACATTTTTCTCAAAGTCCAAAAAGCATTTTTCATTAGTGTTTAAAGCTTCCTTAATGACAGTTTAAGCCACTTTAACTATACTGTGGTAAATGAAGGACATGCAAGAAATTCTTCTTTCATTATGCTCTTATATTTCCTCGTTCGCACGACTTACAATCTTTTGTGAATGAATTTCGGTCGCGTTGAATACGTCATATTTTGTTCCTTAAAAAAAAAATAACAACAACACCCCTGCCAATGTTATTGTACATGTAATTTAAATTCAAAACACGTGGTCTCCTTTGGTTTAAATATATTTTATTGTCTAGATATACGAGGATTGTTCGAAAAATTCGCTGACAGTGTCAATCTTTGTTATAATCAAGAAATTCAAGATAAGCACATTATCATATGTAAAAAATATTTTGTTAATGTGCGAAGTTTCATTCCATTGTAACGTCAAAAACATAACGTAATGAGTTTCCCAAAAATACTCTCCCTATACATTTCACACACAGTCTGAGGCCATATCCACTTAAAAATATAGAAAGAAATATGGGGATAACGAAGATCATTCAAGCTCAAAGTCCATTTTTACAATACAAATCGGGAGCAGAGCAAACACGGACCTCCAAAAACATCAGAAGTGGGATCGGGTGCCACGGAGGAGTGAGCATCCTCTGCCGACCGGTCATACCCGCCGTATGCATGCTCCTTGTCATGATCGGAAAAAACGGAAAAATCCGTAGACAATTTAGTGTGTAAATAATGGCCTAACAATAAGTATGAAAAACGTCAGTCAGCATTGTATTTGCTGACAAGATCATTGTATTGACCATAAAACGTGCAAAAAGATGACTTCAATCGAGAATATTGATATCCTTGTTTCATCATCTTGTTTGTCAATAGCTTGCCTAGTTTTAGAAATTGTTCATACATGGAGCATGCTCTTGCGTATCGAATCAACTGGGAGACAAAAACAACATACCGGTATGCAGGTGATAAGGATCTATTGCTACATAAGTAAGGGAAGTTGACGATTGACAAATTGAAGTCATCACGTTTATCATAAAGCTTGGTTATTAGGTTACCATTAAAGTCTTTTTCCAGTAAAATATCCAAATATGAGAATAAATAAATAAATAAAAATAAAATTTTAAAAAATCTTTCTAATTCACTTCACATTTAGTTTGTTAATTTTTTTTCAGTAGCATAAGTTCGTTTGTCGGTATTTTCATTTCTTTTTTCATTGCATAACTTCTGTTTTCAAAAGATCCGCAACAAGTATTAAAAGCGCCCATCTCTCTTTCTATGACGTTATTAACTTTTGATTCGATTTTTACTGATAATCCGTTTCCTCACAGATCGTATATCGTCCAGGGTCTCTACCACCACCACCACCACCACCAAAAACGCCTATGATATTATACACAATTGCACGACTCAGTTTTAATATATTTTCTGCATCCTCCAGCACTTTTCAGAGTTTATTCTGGAGTTTTCCAGAGTGCAACACAAAATTGTACTGCTGCTCATGACGTTCTACGACGTCATCTTTTTTTTTTTTTTTTGCCTACCCATGTTCTGAAATGCATTTCTTTTCAACAAAGCAAAGTATTAGGTCACAATTTGGTATATGATATAATGTTAAAATTCTTACTATGAATGTCTAGATTTATTTATTTATTTTTTTTTTTGTTCTTGCTCAATTTTACAGAGATAATGACTACAGACATTATCAAGTGCATTGTTTGCATTACTAAATTTTGACCTGCTCCGTGATCCCGTTTTAGCAGTCTTAGATTTGAATATGTTTGGAATATATCAATATATATTTGAAATTTTAAATTCATACCACTCTAACTTCTTGTTAATATATGTCTATCACTTTAAAAAAATATGACAGAAGTCCGCAAACTTTCCGAACAGCCCTCGTACATGTAACAATAATAGGATCAAACAAAAGTTCTTAAAATTTCTAACGTCCTCTCGTTATTGACATTATTCATTAAATTATACCCCTAAAGGATGACGTCAAAATTTCATCAGAATAGTCCTATAGGAGAGAACAATGTTCAAGAAGAGGTCTCATTTCAGTACATGTATCAAGATTCATTGGTCATTTCAATTGTACATGTATGTACATTTGATCAATTTGATACCTTACAATTTAATTAATTTAATGTACTAGTATATACTTTGTATTTTAGTGTTTTTCTGGATTGATCAGCTGGAACATATACTTGTATTACTTATACTAAATATGTAATGGTATTTACAATTATATGTAATATATAATTAGAAAGTCAATGGGCTAAATTCAGATCAGGTTTTTAAACAGTAGGATTACATATCAGTAACTGTACTCCCTTGGATTTCAAATTATATCAGTAAATAGTAAAGTATATGCATGATGTACGAAATTTATTTATGTTACTTTATTTTGTATATTATGCACGAATTGCATGTTTTTATTACTTTCAAAGAAATATGTTGTAAAAATCAGGTAGGGAATTAAGACTAGACATTACCATTACAATGAAAAGTAGAGAAGAAAAATATCAAATATAACATTCGGTGTCACGTTGTTAGACTAAAAGCAAATGACCCTTTCTGGACACCATACATGGTTGTAGGTTCAAAGAAGTTTTGCAGTAAACAAAAACTTGAAGATAATATAAAGGTTGTATTACATTGTTTAAAGATTGACATGACAATCATTTAATCTATAAGAATATATCAAGATCATGCATGACTATTCATGAGATCAGAAAAAACTAATAATAGTACTGTTTTAGCATAAATTTTACAATTTTTTTTTTTAAATAAAGACAATTGAACAAATAATGAAATTCATCTCTCAGTTCCTCTAAATTACACTTTTCTATGATATAAAATCTACCAGTCTCAAATGGAAGTTTATGACTTCGATACAAAATATGTATACATAAGAACACACAAAAGTAATTCTAAGTCTTATGAACTTCATAATTTATACACTGGTGAATTATGTATTTGACCTTTCAATTCATCAATAAATTTTTTGTATGGTAGTTCTTCACATTTTTAGATAAATGTAATAGTCTATCAGCAGATTGATTTCTCCAACAACCATTGTCATAACCATATGTAATTAAAATATCAAAATAATGTCTGTATTTTTGGTTCCCATGGAAAAAATGTGTAATTGTCTACTACGATGATGTTTGAATTATGCATGAAAAAAATATACACTACAAAGAAAAAAGTAATGATTGAAACTGAAAAACAAAATGATAACTGGATGCAGAGGTTTAAATAACTATTCCAGGGAGGGAGATATTGAATCGTGGTAAGAAGATGAGAGAACAAGGCGAGCAAAATGCCTATTGTGTGACAAACAAGAAAGTGAAAAAATAATCTCAATTATGACAAAATTTTCTTTGAAATTTCATTTAACATTAACGTATACTTTATGTAAAATCTCCAAAATTTGCTATCTCACAAAGAGTGAAATTATTCGTCTATGAAAAGGTGAAAATAACGAACAGTGATCGATCTCAAAAAATCTACAAACAATGCAAATCCGTGAACCGGGCATAAAACAGCATATACATGTACCCACCAAATCATTTTTTTAATACTATATCACAAAATATGCCTAAAACTATACATACATGTATTTCGGTTTGGGGAAAAATCCCGCCTTATTTGCCCTTCTCCTATAAAGCGTAACATACAGCACTACTTCCATGAAAGACTTCCTTGAATACTAATATACCAAATCCATTTGCCTCCAGCATTGACAAAGAGCTATTCTGTTGGATAAATCACTTTGGAAGAGTATTAAACCAAGAATGTCCATCAACTGAAGCTCAAATAAGTGAAGGTGTAGACACTTTGAACATCAATATACTGACACGCTAACTGTATCAGAAATAAAACAGGCCATCTAACTTCTTCATCCTCACAATGTCAAGGTTTTGAGATTTCGGAACTCGACACAAACCCTTGACATAAGTCGTTATTATAAAGTTGGGCTTGTAGTTACACATGACGTAATGGGTAATTATAAACTAACCAATGAGAATATATTTTTCAAATCCGTCGTTATCAAATTGGCCAACTTCAGAGCATATTTTTGTGATTGTAAGGAGGACGATTTCAAAAAAATCAATCTCCGATGTTTCGTAGGATTTGTATCTAGTCAAAAATCCTACAATAATGACACTTTCCATTTAAAGAGGATTCATATTTGTTTACAAAACTTATCTACAATAAAAGCTGTTTTCTGATTGGTTCCAGTCCTAGACCAGGAACAAATGAAATAGTAGCTTTCTAGCCCAACCTTTGATAAATAGCGACTTATGTCAAGGGTTTGTGCGGAGTTCCGAAAGCACAAAACCTTGACATTGTGAGGATGAACTTCTGAAGAATGGGAAAGTCATGTGCAGAACACATGTTTTCCTTGGAGTAAATTTTAGAACAGATTACTGAATGGAACAAAACACCGTATGCCAAATACGTCGACTTTTCCAAAGCATTTGACAGCATACATCGTCCTGCTTTATGAAAGGCCAGCACATTATGGCATCCCAAACAAGATGCTTTACAAGGACTTCCAAGCAAAGGATTGCGACAGGGATGCCTGCTTTCACCACTGCTCTTTACTTCCATTATAGACTGGCTCATGTAAATCACCACCAATCAGGCCAATAGAGGAATATCATGAACATTCAACACTCACTGGAAGACCTTGACTTTGGAGAATACATCGCTTACTAGCACAGCGACATATTGAGGATATTCAAATATATATATATATTTTTCAATAATACTTTTACTATGGTTCTTTATCTAACATTATTGAGTCTAATACAAAGATTACAATAGAAAAGTAATTGTTGTGTCATTGTGATGGAACAAACTTTTTAGATAACAAATTCTGTGATTTTCCTTACATTTTAGTTTTCGTCAAGAGTTATCTTCCTTAAATGAGTTCATGCCCCTGTTGACCTAATTTTTGAATTTGTCATGACCAATATGTAAATTTTAGAACATAAAATCATAGGGTTACTATGCATCAATTTTAACCCATTTGTACAATGGATACCTTAATGAGCTAGGAGATATTCAACCGCGGCCAGAATGGTAGAGAATCATACAGTTTTGGCCGTGGTTTGCTACGATGCCATTATCTGCAACTCCTCATACACCACTGATTTAGTAAAACTTTCATCAAATCTTTATCACATAGTTTATGTTTATGTTTCGATCTGACAGATATTTGAGGCTTATCATTCCAAAACATGGACACTGCCATTCTTCTGTAATCGGCATTGGGGGTATCGATCTTTTATGCGAAACTCCTCCTATACCACTGAATGAATTTAATGACAATTTTCCAGAATCTTCATTACATAATGCCATTGTTCACCTCTTATTTTATGTTTCAATCGGATAGATATTAGCAGTTTCCCATAGCAAAATATGGACACTACCATTCTTTGTATGATCGGCATTGGGGTTACCCATCCCTTATCCGCAACTTCTCCAAAACCATGAATAAAATTTATTGTGACTTTCCAAGAATCTGTATTACATAATGTCAATAGGACATCTTCTATTTTACATTTCAATTGGATAGATATTTTGGGCTTTCCAATAACAAACCATGGACACTGCCAATCTTTCTGTAAAATGGGGAGGGGGTTGCCTATCCGCAACTCCTCCCACATATAAATAAAATTCAGTGAGACTAATTTCACAGAATCTTTACCTCTTAGTGTCATTGAGCACCTCTAATTTTGTGTTTTGATAGGTTTCCCACAGCAAAACATGGACACTGCCATTCTTTCTATATTATTGGGGGTACCCATCTCTTATCCGCAACTCCTCCTATACTCAAATGAGCTCGGTGTTGACAGTTCCTCTAGTTTCAAGTTCTTGATTGTCAGGTTCTGGAATAAAATGTTGGTCCTCGTTTATCATACCCCTCCAACCCTCGCATTATTAATAATTACAGGCCTAAAGAAGCATGCGCCTTTGCATTCCTGACTGAAATGATGGTGAGTTGTTGTGTTCAGGTGATTAGATTTTGTGGATAATGTTTCCTTCTTTATACTTTTAAGTGAAATTACTATCGTCAAGGCGTGGGGATGCACATACTTTTTATTTACTGGAAAAAATCAAAATCTTCTAATGATATAATTGTTATATTTTCAGGCAATTTCACAATGTAAAGGAAGATAAATGTCGGTTGTAAGTAATTTACAAGCAGATTTTGATACTTTTTACACAATTCGTAAATTTGACATGATCAGCTCTGTGAGTATAAGCGGGTTTTTCCTACCTAGGTGCTATAACATACAGTAAGAAGCTGGGAAAGGTAACCCAATTCAGCGACTTTCTACAGCCTTCCTCCTCAGTCCCAAAACTCTTTAGAATTCACCCCCTCTTCATTCATCATATCCAGGACTGTCATATTTATTAGCTCACCTGAGCTGAAGGCTCAATTGAGCTTTTCTGATCGAAATTCGTCCGTTCTGTCGTCATCGTCGTAAACTTTTCAAATTTTCGTCTTCTTCTAAAGAACCACTGGGCCAATTTCAACCAAACTTGCCATAAAGTATCCTTGGGTAAAAGGGATTCAAGTTGTTCAAATGAAGGGGATCTTCCAAGGGGAGATAATTATGATTTCGTGAAAAAGTAATGGCATCTTTTAAAAATCTTCTCAAGAACCACTATGCTTGAAAACATGAAATTTATGTGGAATCATTGTGAGGTGATGTAGATTCAAATTTGTTCAAATCATGACCCCCGGGGGTAGGGTGGGGCCAAAATGGGCGATCAAAGTTTTGCATAGGAATACATAAGAAAAGTTTTTAAAAATCTCCTTCTCAAAAGCAGCAAAGCCATGATTGGTCATATTTATTTGGAAGCATCCTTAGGTAGTGTAAATTTAATTTTTTTCAAATCATGACCCCTGGGGTAGGTGGGGCCACAATAGGCGATCAAAGCTTTACAAAGGAATACCTAGGAAAATTCTTTAAAAATCTTCTTCTCTAGAACAGCAAAGTCAAGATTGGTCATATTTATATGGAAGCATCCTCAGGCAATGTAAATTCAAGTTTGTTCAAATCATATGACCCCAGGGGCTAGGGTTGGACAACAATGGGTGATCAAAGTTTTACATAGGAATACGTAATCAAATTTTTACATAGGAAAAATCTTTAAAATTCTTCACAAGAACAGCAAAGTCATGATTGGTCACAATAATATAAAGGCATCCTCAGGTAATATAAATTTGAATTTGTTCAAATCATGACCCACAGGAGAATAGAGGGGCCATAACAGGGGATTATAGTTATACAAAGGAATATAAAGGATATATATCAATAAAAATATTTTAAGAACAGCAAAGCCATTATGTATCATATTAATTCAAAAGCATCCTTAGGAAGTGTAGATTCAAGTTTGTTCAAATCATAACCCCCCCCCCCCCCCCCCCCGAACCACTTTTATATTTAAACTTTTCAATACTGAACTGATTTCTGCCTTTTCCTAGCCAAATTGCTCAGGTGAGTAATGTGGCCCCTGGGCCTCTTGTTATGTATTTTTTTTAAAGGGAGTTTTAAGGGGTTTTAGCTACTTAGATGTACTCTAGGCCGTGTAAAACAATGTCATTACTATAATTAAGGAAATTAATCTTGATTGAACACTGGATGGGCCTATCAAGTTTTTAATTACCACTTGTGATTAATTATTAATCCATTTGAACCTCATTAACATATATATTTCAATTTATACATTTTATCATATCAGAAGTTTGAAAACGCTTCCTCATAGATCATATATAATATTTGGTTGGAAAATCGATCGACTTTAAAAGTCGGGCTCGGAATTGTAAGTTATTTGTGTCACTTCCGTTAATATGCAGCATCTAACGACTGCAAATATGTTCAACTAAAACAACGTCAGATATTCTTCATGGTAAGTTAAATATATTTTCATTATATGAAAGAAACTTGCCAAAGAATTTAAATTTTTGATAAACTCCTTATTTCATTCATGCTGTCGAATATTAAAGCCTATTTGAAGTATTTCTTCATTGAAATATCAGCTGTGCTGTTTTGTTGTATTGCTTAAGGTAGGTCTCGGGTTTACTGCTTAAAAATTCTTACGAGAAAACATATCCTGAAAATTTGATATAATGTTCCTTAGAATTTATAGCATTTTATCTATAATTTTCATTAAATTTATTTGTCTACGTAGTTTTAATGCTGTATTACTGTAAATGCGGTATAGTTTTTAGTACTATTTTTACTCTTTACTATTGAAATATATAGAAAAATGACGTTTTTAAGTCAATTTTGCGGAAAGAGTTTCTTTAAAAAAGGTTGGATAACTTTTTAAAGACGTAGACGAATTAGTCAGGAATTTAAAAATATCCAGAAGAGGTAAAATTAAAGCTTTTGAGATAAAAAAATCACTATGTCTTCTTGCTAGTATTTTTGCTAAATAATTTCAAAGTTTGCTTTTATATTGCCAAAATGTTGCGTTATTAATGACTACAACGTCATGTGTTGAACGTATTCACGTTTACAAACGAGTATAAATATCTTTACATTTGGAATATGCAAGATCTTAAAGGCCGGTGACAGTTGCAAAATGTAATTTTATTCATCATTTCACTTATTGCGGAAACATGTTAGGATGACCAGCAACTTATTTACACTAGTATTGTGAAATTCATATTCTGCCCACAAAGTCAGAATGAACGGTATATTAAACATTTCTTGTGTATTAAAATTACCATGCAGCGACCATACCGCGAGTGATAAAATATTAATTCATGTATTTTTAGGATGTTCATGTTCAGTAAGATTTCAGGCATAACACATGAATTTGATCACTTTATTCGAAAACAGTGAAGAAAATTCAAATTCAATTCAATTTATTCATTCAAAAACCATGCATGTGGTACTTAAGGTACATAAACATATAAAACATATATACATTTGATACAGTCGGTCAAGCAAAAGGTGAGATTAACAAAAACATCCCAATACTGAGAAAAATGGAGGGGGGGGGGGGTTACCGGCAATGTTCTTTCTATATCAGTCGCAAGCTCGTATATAGCCCTAACTCTCAAACATTTCTTAATTTCGAATTCTCTCAATCAAATTTCCACACGCAAAATGTAAAACACTTGCATTTAGCTTATACACAGAGATCTTTTCTTATATAGAAAAAAATGTACTTGATACTTGTAAATTATTTACAGTATCATATATATAGGTCTGATAGTATGGGTGTTTGTTTAAATTTATTTTTGAAATGCATTTCACAGTTTGGTAGCCTGGATATACATAACGACTACACGAGATTCAAATACAAAATAAACAAATAATAATTATGATGATTGAAATAATAATAATAAATAACAGGAAAATACTTGTACTGTAATTGAATTTCATCCATTTTTAGTGTTGAGGATTGATTTCATCCTGAAAAAGATTCGCCTCGCAAACATGGTATAATACGCACTTCCCTTTGAGGTGCAAATTACGTGCGCATATACAACCCTTCAAGTTTTTGGCTAAGAAATTTACGATAATTTTCTTTTACATACCATAACTTTTACGCTGACTCATTTTGATTGACTTTTAGCAGTTTAGTAACACTTACAATATAAATTATTCCTTTCATTTGGTATCGTATTTAGTTTGTTCTAAGACATTAAACATAAACACATCAGAATTCAGACTGTCATTTAATAATGCCCCATCTTGGTTCATACGAGTACGAGGTTTATGTACAATAGCATGCATTTAATCTACTTGATTCGTACCTGTAGACTATTTACGAAGTTATTTTCAGAGAATTATACGGGTAACAACGCAACGTCGCCTTTGTGACGCAACTGACATCATAATCAAATGTGCATAAAACAACCGCTCAAATCGTCGAAATTGTGTACCAAAATTGATGACAAAAGCAAACCCGCATCCTACCTTAAGGTTGTATGTTCGTTCGCCCTAAAATTTGTTCACCCTTGACGCCGTTCGTCCTATTTCTCGTTCACCCAGAGTCCAATCACCCTAAAACTTGTTCGCACAGGGTCTGTTCGCCCTGTTTATATTGCAGAAAGTTGAATAATGAACCAATGGATTTTTTTTCAATAAATTATATGTACATTGGTACATAAATTGAATTTCAATCTTCAAAGGTAAAACTAGCTCATCCGCTGCTCAGCTCCATAATGTGCCTATTATAATGTCTCATGATCAGTCCTTTAAAAAATTGTTTTCAAAACATAACGCAGATTGTCCAAAAAAAAAAAAAAGAACACGGATATAAACCTCCAAATTACAGTGACATTATTAAGTATAAATAAACCAATTAAGCATGTTAAAAACATTAATATCAAATTTGAATCATTTAATTCAGATTTAAAAAAAATCACTGTAGCAGCATTTGGGAAAAAAAACCCACCAAGTCATAAAATATTGAATTAAATTATTAAGAAATGTTAATTATATTTGCTATATACTGTATATATATTAGGGCGAATGAGATATAGGGCGAACAAGATATAGGGCAAACGAGAATTATGGCGAACAGACCTTGCGCGAACGGACTCATGCGAATAGGTAGATAGGGCAAACGTACCCGATACCACTACTTAATTGATTATATTCGCATAAAACCTTTTTTTTTAAGAAAAATATAAATACATGTAAATATATATAATACCTTATGCATAATTATACTCATGGATAATTCTTACATGAATTTAAAGAAAATAACATGGTTGATAATGATGTTCGTACTGTATTAAACAAAGTACTTCTGAATATTGGTATCTTGAATACTGATATCTTGAATACCATGGAGACATTGTATGTCGAAGCAAAATGGGAGTTCCTATCATATTTTCTTTACGTTTTTTAACCTCGATATCTCGAATCCTCATTTTTTATGGTCCTATCAAGTTCGAGATAACAAGGTTTGATTGTATTACATAAGACACAATGCTGATTAAGTTCTGGATCAGGATTAATACATAAAAGGGCCTTCAAGCATAAATGCTATGGGACTGTCAAGAGAGAGAGAGGGGGAGGGATATTAGTCCCATTGGTGCATGGCTACATTGAAAGTAGCCACTATCTTGGCACATGCAACTTCTTCAATCAATCACAGTTCTTCAAAAGACTGAATGTCTAAATTGATTCTTTTTACAAATGAATGGTTTAAAACACTTTAAGTTGTTTGTTATTTGGTTATCAATAATGTTAATTGATTCTTAATTCTTGTATGAAGATGCACAGATGCACTGATCTTCTGTTTTATTTTCACTAATTGGAATTAAGTAATCATGACTTGGCAATGCTGGGACCAACCCCTGAACCAGCTTGCAGAAGAAGACTAAACAGTTTGCTTTTTTTCTTTGTTGTAGTGTTGGTAATATAAAGTCAGACAGTATATCCTATATCTTTTGATGATGTCTTGTTGAAGGTGAGGATCCCATACTATTGTTGTCTTGAGCTGAACTCTAGGGCTGAAAACACAAGTAATATATAACATGTATAAGCTGTTTTTCTACATTTCTACAAGGGGGGGGGGGGGGGGGGGGCAGTGTTTAAGACATAAGATTTCTTCTCAGAAAACCCAGCATTGACTTTGCTTTTTTGTGATTTTAGTAAAGTCTGAGGTACACATGATTTTATAGTATGTTTAGAAAAATTTACAACCTGCCACTTTTGAATTTAGTTAACGAAGGAAGTAAGTATGCAATGACTTGAATACATATCTATTTCACAAAAATGTAAGTCAACAGTTTTTTCTTTATAAATTCTGAATAAGAAAACACAATTTTAGATGTATGAGTGAATGTCGGTGATTTTGAGTCTGGAAGCCATGTGCTATAATGTATGACCTTGATCACTTCTAAGATCAAGTTTTACTTCTTACTGCAACTGTGTCAATGATGAATCTGTTAGTTACTCCTATTAAACTGCCACTGATTCAATGATGAATCTGTTTCTTCTAACTGCAAATGTTTCAGTGATGAATCTGATACTCCTAGCTGCAACTGTATCAGTGATGAATATGTTAGTTACTCCTAACTGCCACTGATTCAATGATGAATCTGTTTCTTCTAACTGCAACTGTGTCAGTGATGAATCTGATACTCTTAGCTGCAACTGTATCAGTGATGAATATGTTAGTTACTCCTAAATGCAACAGATTCAGTGATGAATCTGTTTCTTCTAACCGCAACTGTGTCAGTGATGAATCTGATACTCATAGCTGCAACTATGTCAGTGATGAATCTGTTACTTCTAGCTGCAACTGTGTCAGTGATGAATCTGTTACTTCTAGATGCAACTGTGTCAGTGATGAATCTGTTACTTCTAGATGCAACTGTGTCAGTTATGAATCAGTTAATCCTAGATGCAACTGTGTCAATGATAAATCTAACCTAACTGCAACTGTGTCATCATAATGATGAATTTGTTAAATATTTCCAGCTTAATTTCTGCTTACATGGTATTTATTTTATTTTGTTGTGTTTATTATTTTATGACTATCTATAATCTACCCTGATTTTGCTATTCATCATCTGTAAATGCAATTCCTAGATCATTAGTTTTGGTAGTGTTATTAATGAGGACATTACTTGTGTTAAAACTACCAGTCTGTGGGAGGAAAGAAGAGACGACAATATCTCAGAGGGTCATTTACTAATCATCATCTGTTACCCTAATTGATATGTGATAAGTGTCATTTACATACAGTACTGCTTAGATCTATATGTCCAGAGATAGTTACAGATAAGGTTCAAGGACAAGTGGGGACACACCCACTCTCCTCAAGCTGATAGTAAACAAATGGTATGGTGTAAATGTTTCTTGTCAAGGACGTACACGACACACACCTCTAATACTCAAACTAGTGTAAACAAGTATTTGATACAGTGTAGATGTTTTATGTCTTGTTTGTGTTTCTTGAAGACATTCCGGCTTTTTTTTAGTTATAGCTGTGTCAGCTGATTTGTAAGTATATGCCCATACTGGAGCTTAAAATACTTATAGAACTGCTCAGTTTTACATGTGTATGTATACTAACTGAAAAAAAAATCCAAGCTTAATAACTGAACATGATGAAATTTGAGGAGGATGATAAAAGTAATATTAGAAGCACTCATGTTTTATTGAATTGGTACATGTATTTAATGATATATTTTCCTTGCTTTAATGATTTTTTTTTTTACAATTTATTATTGTACATGGTTATATAACTTCCACAAAGAAAAATGTCAAATCAATATGAATTCGGCAGCAGCTTTTAATATGCAAACATCCATCAGACGTGTAATACATTGTATCCCATTACATCTATATAACAGTATGTTTCAAGGGAGGTATCATATTGCACTGCTGCACAGATAAAGGCTAAATTGTACAAGCGAAATCAAATTATGAATAACCTAGGTAACTTACTAAAATGATTTTATTTGTACAGACAGGAAAAAAGAGTAGGCTTGAAACATTCTTTCTATTATAAGTGTTTCAAAATGTGTCACATCTCTCACGAAAAACAACTGTTTACAATGGATCTCCACACCCGCAATTTTGTTTAATTATTCTGTTAAGTTCAGCCTTGGTGGTAATTTTCATTGATATTTTACGGAAATAAAAGTTTTTTCAATAACATGAGACATTTTTTTCACATAATTTCCTTGATTTTTTTTTTTAAATGAGAGATTTGAAGATGTATTTAAACCAGTATAATTGACCATATATATATATATATATATATATATATATATATATATATATATATATATATATATATATATATATATATATCAATATTTCCTTATTTATAGTGCCTCAAATTAACATGTTCGTGAGAACTTATCAATACCATCTCAGAATTCCATAAGAGCTTCATGAATTATTCAAACAAGTCTTAATAGTTCTGGTATTTTCAATGATTTTCTGAATACTTTGGTTTAAAAAAAACAAAGAAAGCAAACATTCTAGTAGCTGTGCTTAGAAACATTGCAATGTTTTGCTCCATGGGAAATTACATCTGGTGACTTTGAGAAAAATTGATGTGAAGTCAAATAATCATTGTTTTACTATGTAAATAAAAATGAAGTAGGTAAATCAAGGTTTTTTAATTAAAACTATAAGGTTTTTTAATTAAAACTATTGGAGTTGTCCATCAATATGGCATTCATTTTCTTTTATTTACATTGAGTTTGGGTTTAGCTCATATAAATCCTCATATAACTTTACAAATCTCTAAAACAGGATGAAGCAGTGGAGCACACTATGTTGAAAAATCAATGAATAAACTCAATATATACACCTTTATATGGTACAGTTTTATCCAAAGTTTAGAAATCATTTTCATCAGTGTTCAGAAAAAAATTTCCTCGAATAAATATTTCCTTATATGATAATTATTGATAGTTTGATGTATAAGAGGAAGTTTAATTTTACTCACAGCATATACTTAGTAACATTAACTATAGTGCTGTGTATTGCATATTCTTACTAACATTTTTTTGAATAGAAAACAAAACAGTTACGAGGTGGGTTATGGCCCTGATATTATTTCTTTTTCACTCAGTTTGTCATCTTTCTTGTTGGTGCTTAACTTCTGTAGAGGCAGAGTTGTAATGTTATGATACCACAATATCGTTTTTAGTTGCAATGATACACGTATTGTTTTGCCAGTGTAGTATCATGATACTCTTGTTAATTTCAGTCAGGGACAAAAATCGAGTAACAGAAGTACCAGGGGTATAATTAAAGTACATTTACCATGTTTATATGATGTATAAACCTGAATTTTAACTGGTGATAAATAATGCTGAGGTCAGCTTCATCTTTTGTTAACTTCTGAATTTTAGTGATTGCATTTTAATTTTAAAAATTTCATTGATTTTAAAAATAAAAAAAATTTTTTTTGATAGTTTGAATTCAATATAAATTTCAGAGCTTTTTGAGAGGATGCCAGCGAGCAGTGGTGTTATGGGGGAGGAGTTTGAATCGGTTCCGCTGCAGCCATTTTTACACCAGGTCAGTGGACACACGGGGATGTTCCGGTTTGACGACCAGACCGTGTGTAAACCACTGAATGTCAGAGAATATAACTTCTACCTCAACGTTCCACACAACCTCAAACAGTTCACTGCTGAATTCAGAGGTGAGGACCTAAAGACAAGGAACATGATCCAGTTTTATTTATACTTTCATGTGGTTATGCTCTTTAAATTTATTTAAAATTTCCTTGCATAAATGCTGCCTAAACTTTTTATTAACCCTGCAAAGTTGGGACATGTTTGCTGAAACACCCTGTATTTACATTTTTTTAACTCATTGCAAATGATGTGATTTATAGATGGCTTGTATATGTCTAGTACATTGTTTTTAATCCATTTGAAATCAATTAAGTCAATCCACTATGCAGTTAGATTCATTTTCATTTACCCTGAAGACAGTGTAGGTGTCACACTAATTAACAATTTACATGTTCACTTCTGTTGTAAAGATGTCAAACAATCTTGAGTAAATCTAATAATCACTTAATTCATCCTAAGGCAAAGATTATACTTTATCAAGAACAAAGAAATAATCTCAAACATGTAAAATCAGTTCAGACATGTAGATATATATGTCAAGTCCACCACCCCTGCAGCTCAGTGTTTTGCTTGCTCAGAATATGTATACCTCAAGATAGATTTTAAAGTGAACGTGTGAAAATGAAGATTGGCAACTTGCTCCCCATGAAATTTAGATCCAATTTTGAGCTGCTTTGATTCTTTATTGAGCCTTAATCATGTTAATATAAAGACTGAGAAAAATCAAACTAACCATTTGCATAAAAGCAATTAAACATTACACCTTGTTGCCACTTCTGCTTTTAATGAAACTATTTAGAATATACAAGTAATCATGGGTACATTTAGAATATATTTTAAATGCTGAAGATTGAAGAATGCTCAATATTCACATATGATAGGTGTTATATATGATCAAACTCAATCAACAACACAAGAAAAAAAAGTTTGACCTGAAGTAACTAGGTATTGGCAATATTATTCTAAAAATAGCTCTCATGATTGCCATGTTAACAAAGTGTAGCCATGCAAAATTTGTTGCAAAGTTTTTGTTTAATGTTGCTATCTTTAGGAAAGACATGGAAATTCAAGAGGGGCAAATGTACATTGTAAGGACCTTGCAACATGGGTAGCATAAGAAAAACTGGGATTAATTGCTACTTTGCAGTCTCTTCAGTATATATGCCAATATACATAGAATTCTTTCTTAAACAAACAGCTCTTTTAGACAGAAGAGATCTAAAAAGTATAAAATAAATGAGAGAAAAAAAAATTTGGTGTTCCGGTAGTGCAGTTGTAGAAATTGATTGGGTCAAACAGTTGCGTTTTTCTAGGTCAACTTCATGGTCACCAGCTCAGACAGGTGGGGTTTTTCTGGGTCAAGTGCTTGGTCACCATCTCAGACAGGTGGGTTTTTCTAGGTCAAGTGCATGGTCACCATCTCAGACAGGTGGGTTTTTAGCTCTACTGGTCAGAGACCAGAAGAGCTTATGCGATAGTAAGGTGTCCGTCGTCCGTCCGTCTAGCTGTCTGTCTGTCCGTCTGTAAACAATTTTCAAAACGCTACTCCTCCTACACAGGGCTCTCACACCACTTTTTGGGACTGGGGCCGGGGCCGTAAAAATTGGGAAAATTAACGACCTTTTGGGTAATTTTGGGAATATCATAACTAGACATTATACATTAAATTCATGATATATTCAGTTTCTGATGGTTGTTATCAACTGAATTTCAGTTTTGTAATGCAGAGAAATATGAATTACAAGTTTAGTAACTATGTTCTTTAATAATTGGTGAAGTGAAAGATTGGGAAAATTAAAACATTCAATTGGGAAAAAAGGTGCCTTTTTTGAATTGGGAATGGGGCCTTTGAACGGCCCCAAATATAGAGAATCAAGAGCCCTGCTACAGTTTTAGTCTGATTTCAATATAACTGGGCACACAAGTAGTCTACACTAAGATACATAATTCTGTATATCGGTTTAAGATTTCAATGAACGGTGTTGCCATGGTTACTAAAAATAGAGATTTCTGGGAAATACATTCAAAATGCTACTCCTCCTACAGTTTTGGTCTGATTTCAATATAACTTAGCATACGAGTAGACTACACTAAGATACATAATTCTGTGTATCGGTTTTTGATTTCAATGAACGATGTTGCCATGGCTACTAAAAATAGAAATTTCTGTGAAAAACTTTCAAAATGCTACTTCTCCTACAGTTTTGATCTGATTTCAGTATAACTTGGCACACAAGTAGACTATACTAAGATACATAATTCTATATATCAATTTTTTGATTTCGATGAACGGTGTTGCCACAGTTACTAAAAATAGAAATTTCTGTGAAATACTTTCAAAACCCTACTACTCCTACAGTTTTGGTCTGATTTCAGTATAACTTGGCACACAAGTAGAAGACACTAAGATACATAATTCTGTTTATCGGTTTTTGATTTCGATGAACGGTGTTGCCATGGTTACTAAAAATAGAAATTTCCTTAAAATATTTTCAAAATTTTACTCCTCCTCCTACAGTTTTGATCTGATTTCAGTATAACTTGGCACACAAGTAGACTACACTAAGATACATAATTGTCTTTAATTTGTTTTGGATTTTGTTGACTGATGTTGCCATGGTTACTATAATCAAAATTTCTGTAAAATTCTTTTAAAAGGCTATTCCTCCTACAGTTTTGATGATTGCAATAAATCTTGCCACAAAAAGAGACTAAACTAAGGATCATTATTCTATTTATTGCTGTTGCAAAGTTTCAAGTCCAAGTGCTACTTTAATCTTCCTTTGTTATAAGTACAAACCAGTAGAGCTACAGTCTTGTCAGAGACTTCTGGTTTCTGGGTCAAGTGCTTGGTCACCATCTCAGACAGGTGGGTTTTTCTGGGTCAGGTGCATGGTCACCAGCTCAGACAGGTGGGTTTTTTTGGGTCAAGTGCTTGGTAACCATCTCAAACAGGTGGGTTTTTTCTGGGTCAAGTGCTTGGTCACCATCTCAGACAGGGCGGTTTTTCTAGGTCAAGTGCATGGTCACCAGCTCAGACAAGTGGGGTTTTTCTGGGTCAAGTGCATGGTCACCATCTCAGACAGGTGGGTTTTTCTAGGTCAAGTGCATGGTCACCATCTCAGACAGGTGGGATTTTTCTAGGTCAAGTGCTTGGTCACCAACTCAGACAGGTGGGTTTTTCTGGGTCAAGTGCATGATCACCATCTCAGACAGGTGGGGTTTTTCTGGGTCAATTGCATGGTCATCATCTCAGACAGGTGGGGTTTTTCTAGGTCAAGTGCATGGTCACCATCTCAGACAGGTGAGGGTTTTTTTAGGTTAAGTGGTAACCAGCTCAGACAGGTGAGGTTTTTCTAGGTTAAGTGGTAACCAGCTCAGACAGGTGAGGTTTTTCTAGGTGAAGTGGTTAGCAGCTCAGAAGGTGGATTTTTTTCTGTTGTAAGCAGTCCCGAGCTCAGACAGGCAGGGTTTTTCTGGGCATTCTTACTTTCTTCCATATTATTTAGAGATCACACGTAATAAAGTTTCGCAAACCAATGGGTATGCATACAAGTACGTGTAGCAGGGGGTTCCCGCAGAAATTTGTACATTATGTCATCAGATTTGCTATTGATGAATTTCTACACATATATCCACTTACGTATAGATTGCCAGGTACACATAAGTCCAAACTTGTAGCTTATATTTTTGTATCTTCTTTTGATTTCCATAAAAGTGTGTGTTTTTCCAAAACCTGAAGATTTGATGCAAATAAAAATATAAAGTAAAAAATACAATTTTACACAGTGTTAAATACTCAGCCTTTAGACTTTAAAAACATGCTTTGATGGATTAAAATTATAAGAGCTCTTTTCAAATTATTTTTTATAAATATATGCTTATATTTACTTAAAACAGTCATATACATAATAGATTTTATGTATTTTCTTAAGATTTTTAATGATAAGTATTTCTGCATTAAAAACTCTTACAAGTACACATACACTTTATACATTGCTAAACAAGAAAAGTAATTTAAATGTGTACATGTACATGTAATTCTAACTTGTAGTTTACACATACAAATGCACACTCACGAGTTTGCTAAACCTCTCTAGTATCTCAGCATCTCCTAGAAATTAATTAAAGCACCACATTGTAAACTAGCTTGAAAGCTAGTTGTGCCATCCTAAATAAAAACAATTATTTTAATTAGGAACTATAGAAGTGGAGATCCGTGAGGACAGTGATGGGTATGTGACAATTCTGGGTCGTTTACCCTTGTCAACTAAATGGCAAAAATCATCCAACGGTGAAAGCCTTGCAGGCAGGGCTCAACAGACAGATAAGAAAGAGGAGGGACAACACAGGTACTGGCTTTATGATCACTTGTACAAAATCAGGAGGATAAGTGTAAATTATTAAAAAATAATTAAGTTTCATACTCTCGATGAAAAAATTTATTGAACAATTCTATAAATTATTGGAAAAATTATTATTATTTTTTCCTGTTGCGAGTTCATACTAATTTGAAGTCCCGGTTTTTGTATTCTTTATGTATCTTTATAAGACACCTTTATTTGGTGCCTGGTCATCATTGTGATGTAATATGATCAGAATTACAGGCCATGTGCTTCTTCCTACATCTTAAGTTGTAGTTCTTGAGGAACATTCAGTCCATTAAATCAGAAGTTATTTTGTAGTTTGCGACTTTTGAGGAGTGGCAGTGTAGAAATGAGTACGCAGACAGACCAGGTATTCCACTCCCGAGACTCTGACCGTAAAACAGAAAACATCAACCCCTGGAGTCTGAGGTGTCACAAGAAGACATTGTCTAAACTGAGGAAAGCTAACCAAGGCCCTGTCACACACTGCAGTATCCTTCTATACACTACTGTTTAACTAGTAATTCAGATATATAGACATGTAGGATTTCCTGCATTTAACTACATGTATTACATAAATATTTACATTACAAAAATGACAAACTTACTTTTCATTTGAACAGCCAGTGAGGGACAAATCCAGGATTTGAAGTTAGAGGGGGCACCAGCTAATTAGGCAGTGGAAAGGGGTTTTAGAGTGTAGCCTTGAGACCTGGTAGGGACGCGGGGGGTGGGGGGGGGAGGGGGGGGGCAAAGCTCCGGAATTCCAGGGATTTTATAGGGCAGAAATGGAGTCTTCAAAGTAGATTTTACTATTTCTTGTTGTCATGGTTAATGCCTAGAGTTAATAAAACTACAAATATTCTATAGTCTGTGGAATCAAAGACTAGAAGTCAAGCCCAAACAGGCTCCTGCCACGCAAAAATATAAAAATATAAAAACAAAACCTTTTACTTACACCCCTTTGTCTGATAAATCATTTCTTTTCAATGAAGGAACTTTTAAATTTGCCACTGGTATTAATGGAAGCTTGTTCTGAAGATTTTTTTTTGTATGTAATTTTGAATGTCAAATGTACTAAATTTGAATGTTTTCTTGAATGATAATTTGAATGCAAAGGATATGTCAAAGTGAGTGGTTCAAACTTGGATTGATTTAATATTAAGTTTTATAATCTCAAACACTTTTTATCTTGGAAGTATTTTGTAAACCTCACTGAGTTAGAGATACTATCATAAATGCAGCAATTTAGACTTACAGCATAAAAGGCCTCACTACACAGTGCATAGATTGTTTTATCCTTTCTGAGATTATTTTATCTTAACAAATATCCCAGAGTTTATATTGTTGGAGAATGTGGCAGCACAGTTCTGTCACCCAAGCATTCTGGACCTGAAAATGGGAACCAGACAACATGGAGATGATGTCTCTCCTGACAAGAAGGAAAGATTTATGAAGAAATGTCAGAACACAACATCCAGCAGCCTAGGGGTCAGGGTGTGTGGGATGCAGGTAATTAGACCAGTGTAAGGGTTACAGTCTGTGGGATGCAGGAAAGTTGACCAGTGTAAGGGTTACAGTCTGTGGGATGCAGGTAAAAACACCTAGCCTAGGGTCATGGACTGGGGCATGCAGGTAATTACATCTGGCTTGCAGGTAATTACACCTGGCCTTGAGCCATGGACTGAGGCATGCAGGTAATTACACCTGGCCTTGAGCCATGGACTGAGGCATGCAGGTAATTACACCTAGCCTAGGATCATAGATAATATCAGACTTTGGGGTTATACTTTGAAGCATGCAGGTAATTACATCAGCATAGTAGTCAGCATCTGAGGCAGGCAGGTAAATACAGTATAGAAGTCATGCTGTGAGGCATGCAGTAATTAAACTAAGTCTTGGGGTCATGTTAATGGAAGTAATTACACCAGGCAGTGGTCATGTTCCATTTGATGGAGGTATTTACACTAATCAAAGGTCATGGTCTGAAGCATGCAGGTAATTACTCAGTTCAGTGCTAGGTGTCATGGTAGATTGTACTTGCTTGGGGGTCATGGTCTGTTGGATGCAGGTAACTACATCAGCCAAGGGGTTATGGACCAAGGCAAGGGGGATGAGGGTCATGATATGAGACAAATACTTGCCCAGGGGTGATTGCACTAGTATGTGGAATATGTTTGCTTGTGTTGATGTAGCATTTGTTCGTATCCATTTGTTACCTAGTTTCCCACAAAACACTGTGTGTAAACCTCAGGTAATTCTTCAAGCAACCAGATGACATATTGTCTTTTTTATTGTAGTGCAGTTTCGCAATACAAAATAAGAGTTTCTCAAAGTTGATTATTTGCTTTTCATCCAATAAAATGAAAGATTTTTATTTTCTTTTAAGGTTTATCAGGAAGACAGTGATAAATATATTTGTGTTAATAAATACTATGGGAGAAGTTTGGGAGTTGATGGCTTTAAACAGACCTTGCACCAGTTTCTTCACAATGGCTTTGAACTGAGAAAGGACCTGCTGGATCCCATCATTAAAAAACTCAAAGACCTTCACAGACAGGTGCAGTCACTTGACACATATCGTTTCTACTCTAGCTCTCTCCTCATTATGTATGATGTACGCTCACAGGAGGAGCGCCCAGACAAAGACTTGGGGAGTGATGAAGCCAGTGCCCAGTCTAATATTGTCGATGTCCGGATGATCGATTTTGCCCACAGCACCCATAGTGGGTTTCAGAATGATACCACAGTCCACACGGGGCCAGACCAGGGCTATCTGTTTGGACTGAAAAACTTAATTGATGTTTTTACAGACATGCGATGATTGTTCTTATAGAAGAACAGCGATCACTCAGTTTGTGGATGAGGTTCTGGAGGAGAAATGTGCCCAGGAATTGTTATGTTCAAGGGGTTGCTTCTCTGGTTGAGCCAAGTGTTTCTGATTCTCACTCATTATAAACCTTGGCCTATTGTTCTATACTTTTTTTTTTACTTTTTATGCACATACCAAGTATCTGGAAGCTTCTACTGTTGCTAGCAAATGGCATCAAAAGGAAATTGTTTCATTGTCAAATCTGATGTTTTAAAAGCACAACAAGATAAGGTTTTATGAGGGAGAGAACTACTTAAGGAGTAACAGAAACACTTGTCTTGCAAAAGATGTTAAGACTTCCCACATAATTGACTTTTGAATTGTTTGAGCTCTACATTGTTCTTTATTTTGGAGAGAGCTCACTACTAGTGAGTATTATTTGAATGATTATTATGGCATTATGTACAGTGAACTTTTAGGGAGAAAAAAATTAATTTAATTTTGCAGTAATGAGAAGTTGGGAGTGGTAAAGGAAAAAATCTGTTCAAATTTAATTTCTTGTCATGGTCGGTTGGCCAAAGGGAACTTAACATGAAAATCAAGATATTTTAAGTATTATTGATTCATAACAAACAGACTTTTTTCTGTAGATTTATTACAGAGTTGTTAAAAAAGGGGCACTGAAACACCCCCCCATAAACCTATTAAATAAATAAATAATTTTTTAAAAAAAAATACAAAGTAACCTAAAACAAAAATGAATTACAAAAAATATATCAATATGATCTAGTTAAACAATAAAAAGGAAAAAGTTTCCACGGTGAATGCAACAACAGGAGATTTTTTTTTGGAAACTTGATGAGAATGTGAGTTATCCTGTATTTCTAAAATTTGATATTTTATATAATATGTAGTAGGGAAGATCTTTATTATTTAATTTGACCATGAGATATATTTATATAGCACAGGTACATTACCTTATGTATTTATGTAAATATATTGCTATTGATTTAATGGTCAGGTTGTTAATGAAACTTTTGTCCTCAGTTTTAATGATGTTTTATCAATTGTAGAACAATTTTACTTTGTCTCAATTATTTTTCTTAGATCTCATGAAATAAAAGAATGGCTTTTTTTTTTAATATATTTTTTTTTTTACAATATTATTACTGTGTATACAGGTAAAGAGAAACATGCATGTATTTTAAATTTTCAATTGTGTTTGTAAGATACTGTGGAATCATCATTGTTTGTGGGAGATCAATGTTTGTGGATTTCAAGGGTCACCCTTTCCCATGAATTTACATCCCTGCAACTAATAATTTTGTCAATGTACGGTTCTTTGAATCTCTTTTGTTTTGAGTTAACAACAAAATTACACCCCTATGAACCAGCAAAATTATGATTACCAATGAATATTGAATCCCCACAAATTAAAGTGATTCCACAGAAAACGATTTATGAACTATAAAACTGGATAGTTGAAGCTTATTTGCCTGCCATTGTTGTTCCCGCTTGTTTGGAAGTATTCCATTTCTTTGATAATATTTTGATATTTTAAATACCATACACTTAATATCTTGGTATTAGATTCAAAAACTGTTAAAAGCCAAAAACATCAGAAATTTTAATGCAAGGGAGATGTTTGTGTTTTGTGCAAGAAAAAAAACTATCAATACCCAGTAATTTTTTAAATTACAAAATGTGATGTAAAGATGTCTCATTTTAATTGTTGCATGTGTTATCCAGGTTTTACTGGGTAATTTAATTCATTGTTAGAGATATTTGGTATTTTGGGATATTGTTTCTGGTAGAGGTTTAGATTTTTCACAAAGGAGCCTTACATTGCACCATTCTGATTATCACGGAACTATATTTGTTAACAAATTTGCTGAATGGGTCACTGTATCATTATGGAATCTGAGATGATTTATAAATATGTTAAACCTACTCCATTGAACCACTATTGGTTGTCATATTTCTGAAAATTCTCTCTTGCATTCCAGGAGCTTTGGCAGCATCTTTTTTCACTTAATTTTGTTTCTGTCCATTAATGTTCATGAAACTCATTGTCATTCATCAGCACATATTTAGATTTTTTTACTCTGTGTTTTATGTTTGTTCAGTTCTTCTGTGTCTTGTTTTAAGACTGTAACATAATTTTGTGTTGTGAACAGAATAATTCTCATTTCTGAACTCATGTCCACCACGGTTCTCATCTCAGGGAGTCAATCATCTACAAAATTAAGCAAAGTTAAGGATGGGGGACCAGCAAACTAGTTCTGACAAATGAGATCACAAAGTGAAGAAGAGGACCAGTCTAATAGTCATGTGGCCTCTTGTACCCTTCAAATAAGTTATTCACAAATTCTACTGTAACCTTTAAGTAAAATATTCAGAATGATTAGAAGAAAATGAGATTAGATGTCCATGTAATTTTCTTGTTATGGTGCACTTGTGTTTTAGATCATACTGCTCTCTCAACAAATTGTCTCAAGCGGAATTCATTTTGTTGCACACATCTGGAATTTTACTTTCAGCACAGAGGAATACTAGTATATCATTAATAAATTAATCAAGTTCTTGTCTTTTGTTTAGTTTAATCAGGTAGATGCACGTATTAGGAATCAACCACAGAGATTATGAATAGCATTGTTGATTGTGAGCCCTGAATGTTATTGCTAAATGGATTGTGATCAAGATATTTGTTGATAGATATCTCTTGTGTTGTACATGTTAACTTTGCAATAAAAGAGAATACATCTTTCAAATAGTGTTTCAGTAGATTTAAGACAGCTATACAATAAGTATACATGTATTGTTTTTGAGTTTCTCTACAGGGTTGTGAGAGTAAAGTTAACGTACACAAATGTGTCATTGAACAAGAGGTAAATGTATACATTGTACGTCATGTGATAAATGTATCAATTGTCCACCAGAATTGTTGAGCAATCTTGAAACAGGACAAAAGAATAAGAAAAGGAAAGGGACAGCAAATTAGCAAGAAATGATCTGAAGGAGACGAAAAATCCAGCTGTCAATTTTTAACAATGTATGTGGTATTTCTGCTTGTCATATCAACAGACTGATCAAAGGCACAAATACTGACAGGCGCTGATCCAGGATTTTTTCCCGGGGGGGGGGGGGGGGGGTCATTCCCAGTCAAAAAAAATCCAACCCAGAATTTCTTGACAAATAAAAATAAAAGTTAACTCCTTTCCCAAGCGTGAAAAACCTGTGGAACTATTTCGTGGGGGGAGGGAGTAGTCGTTGACTTCTAAAGCTTTTTATCTATGACTTTTCATACCAACTTAACACACATCCGCGTTTTCGAGGGGATTCTGCGTTTTCTGGGGGGGGGGGGGTCCAAGATTACTTTTAGTTAGTTTAGTATATACATTTAATAACTGCAAATTCCGGGGACGGGGGGAGGGGGTCTGGACCCCCCTCTAGATCCGCGCATGACTGATTAGTGATAGTCTTTGTGTAGATGAACAAAGTAAATTCAATAATAACATTGCCTTTGTTATTTCAGTTTCATACTAGTGTAAAAACATTCATTGTAAACCCAGAAATGTAGGAATAATCAGCTTGTAGAGCACTTTCACCTCGCGTGTGTGTAAAGTGTCTTCAAAACAGGAATGGTTCTTATGCAACACATTCCTTCGTTTGTCAAACCCGGTATTATTTTTCTAATTGTAAATTCTCTGATAGAACCTACTAAAAAAAACTCTTGCATACAGTCTCTAGCCGCATAATCATTACCAAGCTCTTCCTACAAAAACATTCTGTCAACAGTTTGATTTCATTTTAATAGCGAATATTCTATTAAAAAAAAAAACTATTAAAAATTTCCATGCTTTTCTGCCAGTATTCCGCATGCTTTCGGGGAAAGAAATCTTCCCTTTTTAAATTTTTATTAAAACTGTTTTTTAGTTAGAAAAATCTATAGTATATTTAGTGACCTTTGTTAAGGTTTTGATATTTAAGTTGTTTATTACTAGTTAATGGCATTCCACGCCATCACCTTGACCTAAGACTTACTTATAATTATAAGGCTAGTTTATTTAAGTATAATAGATAGGGTTTATATTTTTAGCACTTCCCCAAGGAAACTTATCTTGTTTGTCCTAGCTACTAGACGCCAACATTAACGGAAAGTTACATTTGTCTGATTTTAGTTCTACTCAGGGCATACTTTCCCAGATTATTCGTCCGCGGATTTACGCAGGGATATACAATAAAAACATAAATTGTCACATTTTAATGTTAACTTTTTTTCTACCTAATAAAACAAGATGTTAAGGATGTTTTTTTTTTAAATGTGTGAATTAATAACTAGAGTCTTCCAACGAACAGGAACACATATGACGCAGGTAAAGCAACATTTAGATATTATTGTTTCGAGTTTAATTTTATCTATCAAGAAAAACTGGGAAAAGAAATCAAGGCCAAAAAGAGGCATTAAACTTAGTTAAAAATAAAAAAAAAAAAGTCTATGAACATACAAAATATCAAAATCCAACCTTTTATGGACATAGTCTTTAACAGCCGGACAGACAGATGGACAGACGCCATGATGAAGTGATCCCCAAGTTTTACTCTGCTTTGATTTTTAATACAGTCAAACCCGTGAAAGACCTATCAAGGGAAATGCTTAAACGGTCACATTTAACACGTAGTCTCTTACAGAGATATAGTATGTCAAAAATCATTTGTTTATGATATTTGCATCATAAATCGAAAGATTTAGCAAAAAATATGTGTAAAGCAAAATGACAACAAAATCATTAAGCAAGTGTACAGTAAATGCTGCGAAGGTTATCGTCCATGTCAATGTCACCTGACTTTAATTTATAGCGTAAAATTGGAGCATGCAAAGGTAAAAAAAAACTTTTTTTTATTATACATTTTTTAAGCTTTGAAACGTGTTATTTTATTAATCCTAGTACTTATTAGAAATGAACGAAATTTGCATGATCCGTACAAAAATTCTAATTTTGTGACCCCCCTTTTTTGGGTCACTCTATCTGTTTTTTTTTAAAGCACGAAATCGTATTCTAGCAGTTGGGTGATACAAGTTTTTAAATATTTGAAAATCTCTCATATCAAAAATATATGAAGCAGTTTTTCCTCCATAATTTATTTCTCCCATTTCTTGTCCTCTATTCATTGCGTGTGTTGGTATTCACGGCATCATATACTTTTCTTTTAACCATTGAACTACTATGAGAGTAATAAATGCACTTGAATAAGTGTACACATAGCTGCTTTATTGCTTTTTAAAAACAAGAAACCTTTCATGTACATGTATATCATGTCGTGATATAAACTCGAATAGTTCTTCCTATTTATTGAAGTCTAGTTCCAAATTATTATCGCATCAAGTGGGGGAAATAACAAAAACAAAAAAAGTTTGAATCATCTGTCATTTCCTTTTTACTTTATTTTAATTTCTTTTTATTTTCTAAATTCACTGTAAATCATCACAACAAATGTGTCCTTATTGCGTAGTTCCCTCAACTGCGTAGTTCCTCCCAACTCTAACAGGTGCTCTATCGGTACATACAGAGTGAACTGAGAAAATAATAGTAATTGAGATCAATGCTGCCTTTGTAACAATGCTGCCTTTTTAATGATTGTTTATAGTTTTAAAAATTCTATATATTACATGTATATATGCGAATAAAGGAATAGAAGACGTGTTAAGACAGGTGACCGTTAAAGCTTGACATTTGTGCTCAGTTACTGCCATTTTACATAAAATAATGCCATTTCCGTTTTTTTTTTCTCTGAAAGATGGGAAATCATACCTTCATGTATTTTATGACTTTCAGGGCTGAAACTAATCTTAAAAGTATGTATAGTGTCATTTAAATATTTTTTATTTGTTGTTATGACCTTGATTAATATCAAAAACTTGAATATGATAAGGTAGTAAATAGCAATATATTTTGGGATGGGCCAATGTTTATCGTATACTTTAGAGATACGTTTTTACCTATGACAAGAATACCCATTTTTTTAAACCGTAAGTTAGATATTTGTGCAAATACAATAATTAATTTCAAGATTTCATCTGTATCTCATCATATATTACTGTGTTGTTAGTTCCCGGGATCTCCCAAATTAAGAATATCATGGCAGTCTTACGTACATGTACTTGTATATCAAGTAGATTTTGTAGATCTTGTCTACAGTAACAAAATTAAAGTAATAATTTTTTGTTACGATTATGATCTACTTAACACTACGAAGGATAGTAGAGTATAACACGTAATTTCTTTTTATGATTCCATTAAAAGAAAATTATTCGTAGGCGCGGATTCAGAGATTTTTTTAAAGCTATTTAAAACGAGAATATATACGTATGTAACCTAGAAAAATTATCTTGCCAATTCCTGCATGTTTGAATGAAATAAAGAAATAGTTGGGGTGTAAATATTATGTATTGTATTTCAATTTTACAAGTTCACTAAGCCGTGACCTGATATTTTTCATTTTTACCCATAGAATGTCTGGGTGAAAACTGTCAGGTCATACCTTAATAAACCATCAAAACAAAATACAATTGTTGGTAAATATTGAGTTTTGACTATCATTTACTTTCTTGAGATTGATAAGAAAAATAAACATAATGCTTTTAATTTCATTGAAAACCCTCATTTCCAGAGGTTTTATACCTTCTTGATACGTAAATGATGACAGCAGGTTTATCAACGAGGTTCACCGAGGAAAGTCTTCAAAAAGTTAAAAATTAGGGATGTCAAGGAATATTCATTCGATGAGTTGATATTCGAATATGAATTTAAGATTCGAATATTCGGTGTTTTTCAGATTTCACAAAAAAAATAATAAATTTTAATAAGAACAATGCTGGAATTATCCCCATTTTATTTACTAGCGATCCCCTGATTTCTTTCACTACTTTCTTATCTTATAGATCTTCTCAATTATTTCATTTTGAGTAAGTATAAAAGAAATAAACAAGCATTATTAATGTATAACACAAAAAGTACTTTCAATAGTTTAATATGATCGGATCTAGAATCGAGGACAACGAAATGAAACCCTTCTTGAATGTCTAAAAGACGTGAAGAGTGTACTTATGAAAATAAATTTTATTGATCATTTAAATACACCTTCCATAGAATCAGCCTGTAATATTGTTAAAGGGCTCAATTTCAGAATAATGCATCAATTACTTTATCATCTCTGGATGAATATATTCCTAAACTTTAAAATCATTATCGGGAAATTAATGACCTAGGACAATTGTCTATGGAAGTGTTTGTTTATATTTTCAAAACATTGTATCAAACATTATATTATATCTCTTATTAATCAGATAATTGTACTTAATTACGTGTACATGTATTTAAAACTGAAGAATAAACGACAATCTTTCCCCTGGTTAGATTACTGGTTCTTCAGTTTGAGCTTGTATACATATCATTTGTTAAAATTATATTTCGGTTGTATACACTTAAATCAATTACTTATTTTAAACATTGACAAATATCAAATGTAGAATTCCTTATAGTATACCTGCAAAGTCTACATCCAATTTTACTTCCAAATACTGACGCAACACCTGCCATGAGAGTTTGATGATGTGCATTTGAAATAAACCATATTTCATTTATTTTATCGAATATTCGAATATATTCGAATACTTTCATTGAATATTCGAATATGAATTATTGACAAAATTGACATCCCTATTAAAAATATTCACTTGAAAAAGAAAGTCATTTTTTGAACTTCTTTT